AAACTATATACAAAAAGAAAACTAATGATTTTTTAGAGAAACTTTTAAAATATCCATCATCAAGAATGCTTAATAGGTCGGGGGCTTTAAAGTAAGTACATGAATATTTTCTGAGGTTCGGGCTTTGATTATATTCAATGTATTTCCATTTTTGATTAATATTATGTTCAACCAGCTCCTCGCCTGTTCGGAGAGCTGGATTTCTTCATCCTAAGGCCCAGGTTTTGCTTCAAAAAATTCAATTTATGAATTACAATTGCCCGTTGTACTGAAAATATTAAATTTGTAAATATTTTCAAATACAAAACGCGGGCTAAATGTTTTATTTTCAGACATATATATATTTTTTTGCTAGTTTCGCTTCGGATGTTTCTGGTTTTGTTAAAGGTTGGTTCATATTAAAAAAAAAGCTTGGTTCACATGCAAATAGACTAGATTCGATGGAGCGTTTCTCTACATTTCATCGGTTTTGCTCCATGACGAACCTTCTCAGTGCCTCAAGCGGATTCACGCCCAATGATCAGCCCACTGTGTAAGTGTGCATATTCAACCAGAAAAAAAAGAAGAGAATAGCTTTTGGAAGCCCCAAAAATTGAGCAGTTTCCCACGAAATGCTCTGCTATTGGCACTTTCAAAGTTGAAACCACAACAATCAACACTTCTGCACCTGTGCCCAATGAAGACCGACCGCAAAAGGAGTTCCGCCTGCTGTCAGTTCTGTGAATCCGGCATCCAGCCCATTCATGGCAATCGCCATTGTTGAACTATAAAGCTGGAAATTGCGAACTGCAAGTTGTGCTAACCCTTTGGCTTTGATTGTTGTTGGGATATCATTAAAAAACCTTTAAGGTCTGACGTCGGAGAGAAAAAAAACAGGAACGTCACAGGGACAAGTCAATAGCTGTGTGTAACATGCATAAATTATCGTAACTGTAACAGTCGCACATAATTCACTGCATTAACGGGCAGCACCCCTGCGGAACACCCTTAACCCTTTCTGGGCAGTATCAAAACGGGCGACAACAACGGCATATGCAAATAATGCCGCATCATTAGTGCGTGCAGTATCCGAATCCGAATCCGAATCAGAATCAAAATCTGAATCACAATCCAAATCCAGTGCAAGTGCAGCAGATAGAAAGGGTTGCGGCTGCGAGTGTGGAGCACGTGTCGAGCACTGTCTGAAACATTTTTTGGACTGCCCTTAAAACTGAACTCGAACCTGTGACCTGTGTGCTGTGTGCTGTGAATTTGCTTTTGGTTTATTCTTCTTTTTTTTCCCTGGTATTTGCATATGTTGTTGTTCACAGCGATTAGTGAGCCATGGATATGGAAAATTTGTTTTTAGCCATTTGTCTGTTGCGGTTTGGCTGGGTCAAAGGGTTGTCGGCAGCATGAGTGCCAAAACATATCTGAAAGTTGACTATGTGAAATTGCTTTCGTGTCATTTTATTTTTAAATGTTGTAAGTAAAAGTCTTTAAGGAAAAGTATTAATATTTTTGAAAAATTTTCACATCTTTTAAAATCAAAAAAACAACGTAAATATCACAGATTTTTTCAAGGATTAATGCTAAATTTACATAAATTATATATGTATAAAGATGAGGGCCTTGTAATATAAAAATAAATATCATTTATTTTATTTTATTTTCTATAGAGTCTAATTCGTTTAGCTAATCACTAATTACTAATTAACATCAGTATGTTTATCCAAAGAAAATTCCTTTCATCTAACTTTTCCCGGAAAATCTCTTTAACTAAATCTCAGCTTTAATATTGCAACCTTTTCAAATCTAAACATCTTTCGACTGCCCAAAAGTTTCTACGCGGAATCGTTTCTATTAACTTTGTTCTGCCTCAATTTTCGCTTATCATATGCTTAACGCCTCCTGAAGTCGAGTTCAGTTCTGGACGGTTTTTTCCCACACACCGAGACGGCAAATTAAGCCACAACAAATTTGACCTTGTTAAGTTTGCTCAAACAATCCGCAAACACCAACAAAACGAAACGAAAAACGAGAAACGAAAAAAAAACACCAAGGAGTCTGGCAGATTCCCAGCATTGTTTTATGACCAGCTCACATAACCGAGCGTCGACAAGGCAGTTACCTACCTCAGATTGCAGGTGATCAATTGGCAGTGCCGGCATCGAGCAGTGCGATGCAGTGGGGCAGGTATCCACGTTTAATCCACTCATAAGTCACGCCGTTCTTTTGTATCCTCATCATCTGTGTGAAGCGAAGGCGGAGCTTTATATGCGCCCACCACGCAGTTAGGATGTGTTCCTTGTAGTCAGTTAAAGATAGTTTTGCAACACTCAAAAAAAAGTGCCGGAAAATTATTTGACGTTAGACAAAATTGAAATACATTGGCTTTTCCTTTTTATATATTTTATATTATATTTGCTTATTTATAACTTAAATACATTTACCAGACGAAACTAAATGCTTTTCTACGAGTAAAATCTATATACACATCTCCATAAACAACACTATAAAAAAAAGAGTTGGAAAATTATTTGAAATTAGACATAATTGAAATACTTTGGATTTTCCTTTGAAAGACAACTTGACGACAGGTCATATTAATTGCTTATTTATAACTCAAATACATTTACCAGACGAAACTAAATGATTTTTCTCGAGTAAAATCTATATACACATCTCCCAAAAAATATCACGAAAGTAAGACATTACTGCCCGCTAACCAAAGTACTTATATGGCGATGTATTGTGCAATAGACTATTATTATAAATGATATAGTAATTTATGAATCACGACAAAGTATACATAAAAGTGTTAACATAACATTCAATTAACTACTTAGACGGCGAGTACAAGAGTTCATACCGTAGTGTCCTCCAGGGCATTCGGGGCTGGCGGCTTCCATCATGACACCATCTACTATAAGGCAACAAAGGCAACTGCCACAGCAACAGCATTAAGAACCGCAACCTACAATAAAGAAGATCTTTTGGACGCCGCCGAGTGCACAGATAAGAGACAACAACAAAAGCGCAGCAACAAACCAAAACCAAGTACAACAACAACGAGAGAAGCTCAAATATGGGTAATGGTTAAGGAATCCCAACTAAAGGAGCACAACGATCGCCTTCACCTTCGTCCAGGGCATATGCATACAAGACGGCGATGATGCGACGATGTGATTGAAACAAAACATCTTATTATTACCTACGACCAGTCGATCGGCCGACTGGCAAAAAGAACGACCCCGTGCGACCTCGATGTAGACCTGGACATGGACATGGACCAGGCACTGACACTGGACGTTGCCAGCAAAAAAAAAAAGAAAAAGAAGAGCGTGCAAAAACAAAAATTCCCACGCTCAGAGGCTGCCCTTTGTCGACGTCGACGTCGTTGTCGTTCGTCCCCGCCCATATAAGGCGCAATCTGGGTAACGTCCTTACCGCCCCATCCGAAGATTGTGCGAAAGCTGAGCCGAACTGGCCGCTGCCAAAAATGTCTGTGGCTTACTTGCAATGCCCCCCCCCCCGCCCCCAACCCCAAACAAATGCTTGGCCCTTTGTTGTTGTTGCAGTGCAGTTTTGTGATTGATTTTACTTTGGTTTTTTGGTATGCCTCTTGACTTTCACAGCTCATTGGGCTCGCTATGTCGCTCACACGATGCCATCCAGCGAGGCATCCTCTCCTCCACACACACACACACACACACACACACACGCTGGCATGCGGACAGGTTAAAAATCGACAGGTATCAAGTGGTGAACGCTCATAATTATAGTATTTAGTGGTGCGTAAAATGTGATACTCTTCTTTTTTTGTCAAAATCTTTTGGTTATTTAAATTGACTAGGGTTCGCCATGCATGGAATCTTTAATTCTGTGCTAACTTATTTTATTTCAAGCTGAAAAGCAAATAAAAAACGTTGTTAAAAGTGAATAATCTTATGTTGAATTCATATTTTCCTTTTTCCCAAAAAACTTTTAATATATTAACATTTTAAAATAGTTTCAGTTATTGAAAACAATGTTTTCAAATGTTTTTTGCTATTTAATTTTTCTAACTTACTATATTCTTTGTCAGTTCTTTAATTTGATTAATATTCAGAATAAACAATTCTAAATTATATTTTCATTTACATACTTTACGGGTTTCTTCCTTTTATTTACAATTATTATTTTTTTTTGTATTTAATGTATCTATCTGAACTATAATTTTCGTTATTTAATTATTAATTTGTGATTAATAAAATAATATTTAATAATTTAATTTTTACGGATTTTTATAAAAAAATTTATATATTTTTTATTTTTATAATCAATAATAATATTTGGCGATGCTTTGAATAAAATCTTATGATTAGGGTTAATATCTTTAACTCTTCTTCTAGGTATGCAACTTTTTTCGGATAAAAAATTTTAATTTTGGCCCTTATTGATTTCCATTTAAAATTCAAGCTCCCGTTGGAATCACCCTAAGCATATACTGCACTTTTCATTGATCAATATTATATTAATTTTATTAATGTACCGTAAAATCAAAGACCATACTTATGCATATTCAACGAAAGCTGAGACGTACTCAAGACCAGCATCCAGCAGATGCTTGAGCAGCCTGGGAGTCCGAGTCCGAGTCTGGTTCGGGTTGTTGTTGTTGTTGCCTGCACGTAAAATCAGTGTTATTGATCATAGCTGCATAATCAAGTTACGGACGCTTTTCATTATGTTGCCAGTTGCCGAAAAAGCAACCACCACCAACAACATCATTATCATCTTCAACAGCAACATCATCATCGTCATCATCATCAATGACATTTATGTTGACCAACAGGTTGCCTGATTCGGCTTTCGTATTCTCAACTTCACCGCGCTGCGAGGGTTGCTTATTCAACATAGGGCCACAGACAATGCTGCGTCGGTGGTGTGGGCAGTTGCCCAAGCAGCCAGTGGTGGTGGTGGCGTTGTTTCAGTCGATGTTGGTGATGGTGAGTTTTTTGCGTCAACTTGTTCGGCATTCGCTCGCAATACGCACTTGTGTACGGTCGTGTTTTCGCGTCGAATCCCAGCATAATAAAAATCCAAAACGGTTAAAGTTCAAAAACATCGTCCCGTCGGTTGTCGTTGCAATTGAAATCAATTGAGTGCAATTTGCGAGTGCATAGTTTTTCTTCCAACGAACTGAACAAAATGTTTGCCTAAGACAATTTCGTTAATTAATCTGTCGCGTGTGTCGCTTGTTTGCCAAGTAATCAGCGCCAAAAACTAAGTCGCTTCCATCAACTCCAATCGAAAACATAAACAAAGAGGCAGTCAGACAGCGCACCAACTATGGCCGACGAGAGTCTGCATACAATGCCGCTGGAGCACAATATAGACTATCACATTGTCACATTGTTTGAGCGCTTGGAGGCGATGCGCAAAGATTCGCACGGGAACGCCATCAACAATCGACTCTCGAGCACCTTGCAGGCGCCCAAGCGCAGCATGCAGGCCGAGATACGCACCCTGGAGTTCTGGAGGTGGGCATTGGCTTCTAACCATTAGCATTAGTCCCAGTCCCACTGCAAGTCGCGCTCATAGTCGGAGTCGTAATCGCAGCCTTTGTTTAGCTAGTTTATTGTTTTATGTGAATGCCAGTCGGTAGCTTTGTGCATAATGCAGTCACGGCCAGTTGAATAATGCTTAACTAAGTGAAATTTAAGTGCTTGGTGTTTGTCTTTGCCAGAAACTTGAAGACTTCTCATTAGCACGCAAATATTTGTCCAAACTTTGCAACAAAGTGTGGATTGCTGTAGCGCAGCAAATTATATTGTTATTTATCAAGAGATGAACAAAATGGCCTATCGATCAATTTAATTTACTTGAATATTCCCCATCATAATTATTTACTTATTATTTGCATTATTAACCATGGGGAATTATCATTCTTAACAACATTTAATTGTATACATTTTTTGTATATGTAGAATATTTTATCATAATAACTTTTATCTATATTAATTGAATTACTCCCAACAATTAAATCGTGTTTTTCAAAATTCATAAATTCGACTATAATATACCTTCAGTGAAATTCCTAATTTCCTATTTTCTATTCCTTTATAATAACTCATTATATATATAACTCACTTTTTTATGAATCGACAGACCTTTCTTTAAAATCTCTAGCTAACAAAGTTTTTATAATAATAATATTAATTTTCGTTATATAATTTGCTTTCATTTCCACATGAAATATTTGGAGAAAAAGATTTCTTAGAAAGCAATTGGTTTTTCGGTAATAAATCCTCAGTTGAATTTGAATTCTATTTATTTTATTTCTCAATTTTTTCCATAATAACTAAAATGTATAATTTGTAGAATTTTATTTGCTTTCAGTGTAGCAGAAACCATTAAAATTCTTAGTCCAAGTTTTGCTTTATTGAAATTGTATTTTGTCAGTCTGCATTATATTTTCAAATAATTATCGTTTCGCTGTAAGTCGATAAAGTAATTTAATTGTTGGTGCAAAAAGCAAAGCTGTCCAACGCAGTTTACATAAGTTTCCTTTAGTTTTTTGTGCTCATTAATTATTTGTAATTTAAGAATATTAAACAAAAGTTTGACTTTAACGACTTGCGTGTCCATGACAGCAGCTCCGCATAATGCCGGAGCATAAAAAGCTAGAGCCCGGCATGGGAATAGTTAGCTACAATTACGGGGGCATCAGAATGCAAAAGTTAAATAAGAAATTTTATGGAAATTAACAAATGCAAAGTTGGGCAACCAAATTGCAGCTGGCCCTCCGATGTTGATGTTGATGTTGGCTTCGGTGCAGTTTGTTTGATTTTTCGTTATCTCCAGGCGGGGAGCTGGAGGCGGGGAGCTGGAGGCGGGGAGCTGGAGGCGGCGAGCATGGCCAGACGTAAAGAAGGGCGGGGTCCGTTTGTGTTTTATGTGTTTGCTGTTGGGCTGTCCAGCGACGACGAAGACCTCCGGCAATCGGCACTCCGCAGTCAGCAGCTGCTGTCCCTGGTTCTGCGATTTTAGGGTTTGCATCTGGAACCTCGACTGCGACTGCGGCTGTGACTGTGTTCGCCCCTCTGTGTGCTTAATTGTCATTGCTTGGGCATGCGAAAAGGCGAAAAGGCGCCGAACAAGGCGAACATTGTGTGCAATTTGTAGCGCAACATAATTTCTTGAATATTTACTTTAATCATATGAAATGACATGCCCCAACTGAAGTATCTGTGCCTCACTCCTCACCATCTCTCACCATCTCTCTCTCTTTGTCTCTTTGTGCCTTTGCAGATCCATCATCAGCGAGTGCCTAGCCTCGTTCCTGTATGTGTTCATCGTATGTGGCGCAGCTGCGGGCGCCGGTGTGGGTGCCAGCGTCTCCTCCGTGCTTCTGGCCACTGCACTCGCCTCCGGCCTGGCGATGGCAACGTTAACGCAGTGCTTTTTACATATATCGGGTAAGGCAAAACAAAATAAACAAACGAATAAACAGGCGACAAGTGTCGCATGTTTTTCTGTTGCGGCCAGCTTCTTGTTGTTGTTGTTCTCTGGAGGGAGTTTGGGCACAAGCTCGCCCGTGGGAATTTTGCTGCCACCAAACAGCAGCAGCAGCCGGCGCAAGAACCCCATTTCACATATTTTTCGTTTGGTTTTTATTTTTTTAATTTACGAAAAGCCAACGCACTGTGGTTGTCGCCCACGTCCGAGGCGCTCCGTCTACGTCTCCGACGCCGACTCCAACTCCCTTTTCAGTCCTCCTCTTATCTCGGCGGGCGCACTTGTAGTCCTCTACTCTTGCCTCTCTGTTATTTTTCTGTTCTGTACAACTTCCCCGTGTATTTGAGTTCATCTGCGTTGACATTCAGGGCAATTAAATGTTTCCACAAAAACAGCATATCTCTGAAGTTACAGTTGGGGGAGCCCCAGTCCGCCCAGTCCGCCGGAGAACATGTGTTCATGATTTTGCCTTTAAGTTGCATTTTGTATACTTTTTCTTTTTCACAGCCAATTGGCTGCGCATTAAGTTATGATGTCAGCTCTTCAACTGGAAATGATATATTCCCCGAAAGTGTCAAAATGTTTTTTAAGCTTCTTCAATATTTATATTGTATAGTAGGGTCAGCTGATTTGAAGATTACAGAAAACCTCTGTCAATATCAATAAGGAGAGAGCATTCGTAGCCATATAGGAAATGTTATAAAGTTTATTTTCTTTATTCACATCTAAGCGCATTTCTCTATTATTTTCCTCGCTTTGACACTTTAATACCTATAACATGACATATTTTTTATGGCAATTTACCTGTAACAGCGGCAACTTTTTACTTGTTAAATATTTAATGATTAATCCACTTATCTGCATTTTTCCCTTCCACCACACAGGCGCTCACATCAATCCGGCCGTAACTCTGGCCTGCTGCGTGGTGCGCAGCATCTCCCCAATACGAGCTGCCATGTACATGACCGCCCAGTGCGGCGGAGGCATCGCAGGTGCCGCCCTGCTCTACGGGTGAGTCAATGAATATCCAAGTATTTAGCAAAGAGCTAAGCTGATTAATTGCTCGCTCAGAAATTAGAACTTCCAGAGATTGAAATTGAGCTTGTCAGGGAATATGCTGGTAGATTACATAGATTATAAAAAAAAACACTATGAAAATTTAGAATAGACAAAAGCTTAATAGTTTTTCTATTTTAATTGCAAATATAATTTTTAAAATATACTATTTTTTTTTATGTATTTGTGGACGAATGAACTGAAAGGTTTTATATACGTTCAATCATATGTTGGGTTAACTCTCAAAAATAATTAAATTAAAACAAAGTGAGGAGTATTTATATTAAAGCGATATATATCTATGTTTGCATATTTATGTATATATTTATTTTTATATATTTATAAATATATTTATTTTTAAATATTTATATATACATATATATTTATTTTTATATATTTATACATATATTTATTTTTATATATTTATAGAGATAAAGAGACCTCTTTCGTATGCAATATAATTGCATAAACAAAAATATATATATTTTATTATTGCTATTCTTTTTATCAAGATGAAAGTATTATTCTTCAAAATTTAGATATAATAATGGATGCTTTGACATTTGTCTGGGACATTATAGAATATGACTTGCGCTCGAAACTTAAATTAAGCTTTCTTATTTTTGCATTTCTGTTAAATATTTCATCTTAAAATTTTATATTTTATATTGTTAGATTACTTGTTTGCCTTATTATATTTCTCTCAGTGTATAGCAAATAGATAGGCAAAGTCTTGGAATTATTTTTATTATGCAACTTTTTGAATTGTTGCTTTTGTCATCATTCATCAGCTGCCAAGTATTTCCAAATAACTTTATAGCTTCCAAGTAGAATCGCACAGCCTTTACTTTAAGCTGCTTTGGTTCTGGCTAAAACGAGTATATGTAAATTGCATTGAGCATGAAATTCATTTCAATGTAAAGTATTTTTGACCGGGCATGGACAGAGCTGGGCTTAGGTGCCCGCTGGCAATTGCTGCAGCAGCAGCAGCAGGATATGCTATGCTAAACAATTTCCGAATTAAATCCAACAAGGTGCTCAATGTCACTCAAATCACTAACGGCCGATGCGGTGACTGTACACAAGGACACTTTACCAAAAACCATTTACAGGAAATACGAAGTTTATGTGCAAAAAAAAAAATAAGAGGGGAAAGAGCTAGAGAAATGTATAAATAGGATATGCAGGTAAACGTCGTGTCCTCTGCACACACACACACATACACAGACACACCGTTACGCACAAGCACCTGCATAGTACGCAGGTAGATCTACCTTACCTTACCTAGGAGTTTACAGTCTCTACCCACGTTTATCTACTGGAGAGAAAACATCTGCCGCTGCTGGCGACGTGATTTCCCATTTTTTTGAAAATGCGTTGTTGTCAGGACCGGCTTCCTTTGTCGAGGCCAGCACCATGTGCCGCCTAGATGCACACACAAACACACGCGAGGATACGCACTTCATAACCAGAGACAACCAAATCTTTCTACGGCCTGTCAGAGTCTTTTATGCCTAGATAACAAACTGTGCGCAGGATATGCGTGAAACACTCTTTGTCCTCGGAAGAGTGAGAAGTTTGAGAGAGAGAAGAAAAATATCTGCTTCTTCGTTTGCGACTGCGCAGCGTTTTTAGAAAATATTTCGCTCCAATTTGTTGTTGTTGTTGTTGTGCGTTGAACTCCTTTTTGGAAAGTTAATGCGCCTGCGCAGCCTGCCCCTCGGTGTCTCTGGGTCTGTTCAACATCTGTTTTGCTGTTGATTTTACCCCTGGCTCTTGTTTTTTTCTTTTTTGTTGTTTTTTAAGTGCATTGGCATCTTTGCTTTCTACAGACGCGCAATCCGAGTAGCCGCTGGAACCGAAACATGTTTCAGCTGCCAGTCCGATCAGGTTCGTATCTTTTGCTTCTTTTTTTTTTGTCGTTCTGCATCTTCCCAAAGGGTCCCGGTCGAGTTCGAGTTGTGTTTTAGTCGAAACATATGTTTCCACAAAAGTATCTTTACCAAGTAGTGTGCGTGCGTGTGTGTTGATTAATTGGTTTAGATTTGGCAGTCGATTTTGTGGTTTTGGGGCGGATTATTAGTTCTCGCTCCGGTCGTTTGATTGATCGGCTCTAGCCGAGATTGAAGCCAGCACAAAACTAACGACGTCTTCAATTTTAATTCAAGATTTCAAGATTTGGAGATTTCTGAGAAACTTTGGCCGTTCTTTTAGCCACAGAGAGCCTGTACCTTCTAAAATGGGCAAATAAATTCCTAAACTTAAAGTCTATTTTTGCAGGCCTAAATAAAAAAGTTGCCAAGGTTAAGTCTTATGCTGATAATAATAAAATATAACAGAGCAGCTGACCTAATCGTGAGAGCAGGGCAAATATATAATTTTATTTAATTTTTTTTATTTTTAATATAATTTCCACTACTTCCGCAAACGAGACAAATTAATCGACCTGCTTCAAGTTTATTTTAAAGATCTATTAAAAACGTTAAATATAAGCTGCAGGTGGCAATTACTTCTAGGTTGCAAGAGTTTGAAAGCAAGCAAACAAATATTGTCTGACTTTCTGTATCTTATATTTTATATATTGTCTGACATACATTTGAGCCAATCTACGCATAGCTAACCTTCTTTGTCATATACGCTAAAATCAAAATGTCATGTTTAAGGTAGGCCCTTGATAAATGTTTTCTTTATGGAATTGTGTGTGGACTTTTCGTATCTGGTGACTGATGATGGCATGATCGAAGTGGGCATTGTGTTGTATATACACATCCTATTATATACCCCAGAGCTACAACTGGGGCTCAGAATTAGTTGGCTCTAAGAGAGGAATTTAATTACCTACCCTGCTGCCAGCTAACTTTAAGCTCATAGAGATGTGGCACTTCTTCTTTAGGCATACTCCACTTGGCTGTCACATATCAATTGTCGCCTCTGCCCATTAATTGGCAGACATGTGTCGCATGTGCGACGGAGCGTGGGCCAGACAAATGCTGCAGCTAAAAACGCACTTGAAGGCAGCTCACTTTATTATTTTACATTTTTTCCTTCCTTTTTTTTTCGTAAAAATAAAAACTCTTCAGAAAAAGTGTATGACAGGCCCGCAGCATTTTGAAGTATCGATATCCGGCTATGCGATATTTTAAGATCTCGTTTGTTCAGTTATTGTTATGCCAGTTGCGTTCCGAGGATTTTCAATGAGGATTCAGTACACTGCTTGGTTTTGCCTTTCATTTTGGCCGGTCGAACGTGCGCCAAGCACGTTCCAAATTATGCCCGAGCAGCCTTTTGAAGATGATGGAAGATAAAAATCAGGTAGAGCCCGAAAAACGCATAATTAACATTGCCATTGGTCTTTGTTCAACTGGTTGCCGTCTTTCGTGACTGCCCGCTGCCGTCCCCGCCACCGTCTCCGATCCCGTCGTTGCGCCTGCGCAGGATGCGTCGGAAACTTGAAATCAAACACGTGTCTCGCCGGCGCTGCTCCTTTCTGGTTGGTCAGCCCGAAAGGGCAGCTGGAAAAAGCAGCACATAAACGAGCTCAGGCCAGGCACAGGCACACACCTGCCGCCCAAAAATTACAGTAGTTCCACAAGGGAGAGAGAGAGAGATACACATAAAAACAGGATTTTCAAGTCGAAATTTGAATTTTTAATGCCACAATACGAAACGGACTGCGTGCCTTTAACTTTAACTGGCACTGTGCCTGTGCCTGGGAGTTGAAATCGCGGCTTATGCCTTCATTAGGCGGGTTGATTTGTATCTAGCATGGAAATGCGCTTCCTGCTCTGAAAGGGCACAAATCGATATCCAAAATCAATTCGTGTCACATAGGCAATTCAATTACGAAATGGAATCTGTGCACAGTTGCGTTCAGTAATTCGTTTTGATGCCGCTTTCGGCTTATCGCCAGGCTCCATGGAAATGGCATCCTGTTTGGTGCTTCCGGTTGTTGCGCCCCTCGCACAGCTGGTCCAGTTACATGCCACACACCTGACACACTCACCTCGAGCGCAATTGGAGCCACGACCAACAGCTCCTATTCCATCTGTATCTGTATCTGCAACTGTATCTGTTGTATGCATTTGCTACATTATTTTGTGACCAGTGTAGGGGCAAAATATTTACTTGAAATTTATAATTAATTGCTTTGTGGCACAGTCAATAAATTGCGGCCACTGTATGAATATTTATGGGCAATTTTAATTGTCCTTCAACCTTAATGTGCGTATGTGTTGAATTTGCAATTAAAGAGCACTTTGAATAGTTTAAAAATTATGTTTAATTTACAACAAATCCGTGTTCAGCTTTTACATAAACAAATTTGGCTTAAATTGCATAAATTCGATTATGCACAATTATTATGAAATACCAAAGACAACAACTCCGGGTTAGAGTCAGTGCTAATGTTGGAATTCCCAGCTCCCCCCCCCCCCCCTCAGACCATAGACCACGAGCATAACACATAACCTCACTTTCCATGCGGATGTGGTGGCAACAAATGTGCGAGGAAATGTGTTTCCTTTTTAAACCAAGCACACGCACACACACACGAGCACACGCACACACACTTTCGCACACTTGGGAACTACCGCTATAGTTCAAGTTTGCAGTTTGTTGTAAGCTTTTAATAGTAAATGTTTATTTTTATTTTTCTGCTCTTTTTTGCTGCTGTTGTTGTATTTTGCTTTTTGTTTGCGTTTATCGTGCGCAAACAATTTTGGCCAGGAAGAGAAGCTGCAAAGCTTAACGGCACATAAAGTTGTGGTAACATTTTGCTATTTCCTGCTACTTAGCTGTAAGTGTGTGTGTTTATGTGTGTTTGTGTGTTTGTTTTGTGTCGCTGCTCTGTAAAATTAGCACTTTATACATTTATGAGTAAGCGAGAAAATAAATTCCAAAATCAAACTAACGCAGCAATAAGCAAAGGATTATTTGTACACTCGTTCACAGAGTGAAAAGAGTATATTGGTTTTTCGACACTATTGAAGCTGGAGACTTTTATATTTTGTTTTTTTTTTAACATTACTGTTATTTTTATTTAAAACCGGACCGCTTTTTGGGAAATAATTAAATTTGGATTAAAATAAAGACTTGAAATTTGAAATACTTCTAATCGCGTATGTCCTTAAAGTGTCTATATTTTTGAGCCACGCCCACTAGGAGGCTGGAATATCTCGCAATACTTTGTTACTGTGAGCGAGCATTGTGCAGTCGAGTTCACCCGACTGCAGTATGCTCACTTCCTTTTTTTTGCGATCAATTTTTAATAAGTGTTCAGTCAAGTGAAAAATTGTTTTGGTCAGCGGTATTATGTGTGCATAGCACATGGTTGTAAAAATATTTTCACACACACTTTTTGCATTTTTCTTTCAAGCTTGAGCTTTTCATATTTTCTATGCGGTTTTTCTATTGGCAGAGCTGTTTTCCCACAAAGCTGCCGCTTATTGCCGCTAAGCCGGCAGAGATATGTCCCGCTCACCTTTGCACTTTTAGCACCTGCTACTGCAAAAGATCCCGGCATCCTGCTCCTCGTTCACCCACCCACTCAATGCCATTTCAGTTTGAGTGAGTGCTGAAACTCCGGCACTGGCTGTTCATTCTATTTGCTCAAGTACTTTTAAGTGCATTGTGAAAGCGTTTATTTCCGGATTTTCGCAGCTATTCAATGTTCCGGTGATGTGGTGCAATTGTCGTTGCGGTTTGCACTTGCTCACGTTTACAGAAATCTTGACAAATATTTATTCAACATTTCTCATAATGTGTGAAGCGAGAAATTTACCAACACAGTTTTTTGTCTGCACACCGTGGTGATGTCCATTAAGGTTCTATATATTATCTATATTTGACAGTTTAAACATGCATTTAAGTCTGTTTAAAAATATATTTAACCCAACAGCTTACTAAATAAGGATTATCAAATTGCTTAGACAAACTTTCTCATATTTTTGTAATTTTTAATTTGTTATAAATTTTTTATTCTGAATTTTTAAACATGCAAGTAAGCAAGTAAGCTCCATTACAACTCAGCACAACGTTAACTCTCTACTTCCGCTTATAAGTTGACACCAGCTGCCTGTCATTAAACTCATTAACATTATCATGAAAGTTGAATTGTTCATAAATCAAAGAGAAGCCCAAAAACTTTTACACCGCACACAGCCTAGAAATAGGCAACAACTTTTGCCACTTGCCAATTGAAACTTTGGCAATCTAAATTATGCGTTGTCTCTCCTCATTATTTATATCTATATGTACTTGTATGAAGTGGATGTTGAAGCGTGTTGAGCGTGGTTGACGAGGCATTACGTGTAGGCTAAATTATTATATGAGTGCTAAACTTTTGTCAATCCGCAATCAGTAATCAATGGAAATGGTTTGCTCTCTCTCTCTCTCTCTCGTTCGCAGTGTCACCGTGCCGGGCTATCAGGGCAATCTGCAAGCGGCGATCTCTCACAGCGCCGCGCTGGCCGCCTGGGAACGCTTTGGAGTGGAATTCATACTGACTTTTGTCGTGGTGCTCTGCTATTTCGTCTCCACCGATGCCATTAAGAAGTTCATGGGCAATTCGGCGTTCGCCATCGGCGCGGCATACAGCGCCTGCTGCTTTGTGTCGGTAAGTTTGACATTGATAATGATGCTTGAGGAATGCTTCGACGAAAATCCCGCGCCTCTGGAGTCGTGAGTCGAGAGTCGAGTAAAAACGCACCTGCCGTTTAAGTATTTTTATGGTGCAAAAATCGCAGCATGACAGGCACAGGCACAGTCAACAAAGGGACCGAGAAATTGGGAGAGATAATTAATTTAGTCACAAGTCAGGGTCGAACGAGGCTCAGCTCAGTCCAGAAAATTAAAAGCAAATATTTAGCCAGATTTAAAAGCTGGACTATAAAAATGAAATTTATATCGATTTGAATTACGATTTCGGACTCGCGAACACGCAATCAAAAAATTAATTTTAACCAATTTATTGATTGGAATGCGGTTCCTCAATTTGATATTCGAAAAAGGTCTGTTCTTTAAACTGAAAAACAAAATATTCAAGAATTTCAGGCTTTAGTAAATAAATTGATGGACCTATACTTATTCTTGTGATTACAATATTTTCCTAGTTAGAAAAAGTTTTTTGGCTGCGTGTTGTTTTATACTCCTAGAGAAATATTTCACTCCCACATCCCAAATGTTTCTAACAGTTGGACCTTCTCTCGGATTCATTGCAGATGCCATATCTGAACCCGGCGCGTTCCTTGGGTCCATCGTTTGTGCTCAACAAATGGGACAACCATTGGGTATACTGGTTCGGTCCGCTCGTTGGCGGCATGGCCTCTGGCCTGGTATACGAGTACATGTTCAGTTCTCGGCGCAGTGGGCGACATACCAAGGGCAGCATTGACAACGACTCAAGCTCCATACACTCCGAGGATGAGCTCAACTACGACATGGACATGGAGAAGCCGAATAAGTATCAGCAATCCCAAGGCACCTATCCGCGTGGGCAATCGAATGGTGGCGGTGCCGCGCCGGTCCAGCATGCCGCTGCCAACATGCCGCAAATGGGCGTGGTCAATGCAGGCGCTGGCAACTACTGCCAGAATCTGTACACGGCACCGCCGCTCTCCTCCAAGTACGAACAGCAGCAACAGGAGCCGCTCTATGGCGGCACTCGCTCGCTCTACTGCCGCTCGCCCACGTTGACCCGCAGCAATCTGAACCGCTCGCAGTCTGTGTATGCCAAGAGCAATACGGCCATCAATCGTGACATTGTGCCACGTCCTGGACCGCTGGTCCCAGCACAAAGCCTCTACCCACTACGCACACATCAGCAGCAGCAGCAACAGCAGCAGCAGCAGCAACAGCAGCAACAACAGCATCAGCAGGCAGTCACGGCAACTCAATCGTCTCATCTGCAAAACCAGAACGTGCAGAATCAACTGCAACAGCGTACAGAGAGCATTTATGCCATGCGTGGATCCATGCGCGGACAGCAGCAGCCTCTACAGCAACAACAGCAGCAGCAGCAGCAGCAACAGCAGCAGGCGCCAGTTGGCATGCAGCAGCAGCAACAACAGCAGCAGCAGCAGCAGCAACTGCATCAAGCACCGCAGCTCATGTCGGAGCCACAGGCGCAACCACAGGGCTTCCAGCCGGTCTATGGTTCACGCAACAATCCCACACCGTTGGATGGCAATCACAAGTTCGAGCGTCGGGATCAGCAGCAGCTCTATGGCATGACCGGTCCGCGCAATCGTGGCCAGTCGGCGCAATCCGACGATAGTTCGTATGGGTCGTATCATGGCTCGGCAGTCACGCCGCCAGCGCGTCATCCCAGCGTGGAGCCCTCCCCGCCGCCGCCTCCCATGCTGATGTATGCGCCTCCGCCTCAACCCAATGCGGCTCATCCGCAGCCCATACGCACGCAATCGGAGCGCAAGGTGAGCGCACCCGTTGTTGTTTCGCAGCCGGCTACCTGTGCCGTTACCTATACCACATCGCAGGTGCCCCCGACGATCACGACCACAACAACACAGCAGCAGCAGCAGCAGCAGCAACAACAACAACAGCAGCAGCAAATGATGATGCAGCAGCAACAGGCGCATCAGCAGCATTATGGCATGTTGCCGTTGCGACCGAACTGAAAGCGGCTCTCCTGGGGCCCCGTAACGACGCCGCCGCCAACAATACACGCCGCACTAGCGATCCACCCCGCGGGCACCATGACCCTGCACAGCTGCAGCCTAGCCAAGCAGAGCAGTTTGTTTTAGCTCACAGCTAACAACGACAGTAGTCCGGGCATCCAAAGGAAATGTACGCAAAGTCCTAGCATTTAGCTTAACCCAACACTAGTTTAGATTTATTTACCCAAGTTATATATATATATGGAAAGCTATAGAAAGCCTAGAGATAACAATCGAAACATAGCCACAATGTATTAATAATATACGACAAGTATAAGGGAACTCACACCTAGCAACAGCAACAACGATAACCGTAAGTCACAATAGAATATCCGTAACACCCAAATCCTAGCTAAACTTAATACTATTCTATATCATGGAATAATCGTATAAGATATTCTCTCATTTAGATATACCCCAACATTAATCCAATTAATCAATTAGGTCTCACAACTCTCCAAGCAGTTTTAATAATTTTGTTGTTTTCATTTTTTTTATTTCGTTATCCCTATACTCGGGAATTGGATATTTCATTTTGAACAGTGTTTTCAAATATTCAAAAAAATTTTAACAATTTTTTTCATTTGATAGAAAGCTTAATTTTTTGATAATAATTCAAATAATTCATCCAACTTTTTTCTTCTCAGTGTCAAATTTGTAATACCTTCGCATTATTTAATGACCAATGTTTTATTTTTTATTATTGAAATCCATTTATAAATTTGTATATACAAAAATATTGATATTTAATGTAAATGTTACTATTAACAAGCTCGAATATTAAACAATATTAATATAAATGTTAGGCTAATATGCAAAAAAGTCGACATCTATATAGCACCTATAGCACCTATATATATATATAGGTAATTTACAAATAAATACATTTCTCATCATTAATGCTTTCTATTAATTGTAAGTATTACAATGTGTCATTAAGTAATAAACAGATATATATATATATATATATTTATTACTCAATGACAATGTGTATTGATAGCATTGGGAAAAAAAAAACTAAGATACATATGTCAAATATAAGAACTGTTCTGTAACCTAGATAAAAACGTTTATTTAATTAAATGCAATTTAGAGCTTGCCTAAAATACTCTCTACTTTAAGAACAAAATGGGGAACTGGAATGTTAGAAGTTGCCAAACATTTTTAAGGCTAGAGTAACGAGCTGCACAATTGGATCGGTGCCAGCTTCCAGTTGATGTCACGAGGGAAATTATTCTAGTTGCGGCTGCGGCAATCACAGTTTCTTGCTGTGAAATCTAAAAAATGGATAATTCTACACACATACAAAGCATAACAGTTTATATGAAATTTCCCAAAAAGCAGAAATTCCCTTGATGCAGTGCTGCACAATTATGCGAAACTGCGAAAGTAGTGCTAAGAAATCGCATATTTTCGCACGTACTTTGAAACACTGCTGTCGCGCTTGTTTTGTATTTGCATAAAAAAACGGTGAATATTTAACATTTTACCATGCAAAGGTGTCTTTACAATTTAAACGCGGACCGTGGCATGTCCCCAAGGAATATGTGCACCCGAATCGCTGTTGCAACATCAACGCCAACAACAATACGGAAACGTCTCAGAGTTGTCCTGACGACAAGTTTGGGGAACACGTGCGAACTGGATGACCGATCTAATTTGTTTCCGTCGATTGATGGATATTACGCCACCAACAGCATACAACCGCAAAAGTGGAATACACTCAAGTTAATAGAGTATCTGCAGATAGCCAAAGAACTATACCAGCTGTCGGACTGCGATGCCTTGCAACTGCTGGGATTCTTTAAGAACAACTTAGCAGAGGCCTGTCGTCATCTTTACCTCGATGGAACCCGGTCCACTTTGCATCTGGATTTCGATTCACCCTGGCGGCTTAGCTCCAAGTCAATTAGCGAGCTGTCCTGCATGGAACATTTTACCACCCAAACATTCTTTAAAAGCTTTCATCAGCTCTTCATAGTCAATTCCAATATACTGACCAACGTCCTGCCACAGCAACCACTGGCTGAGCAGTTTCCAGGACGTTATCTGCGCATACAGCGCACCTTCCATCGGGGTCATGTTATTTGGGCCGGCTGCGTGCTTCCAAATGAACATGCACCGATTGAGGTCGCCGCGCTCCTGTTGCCGTGTTCCGAACAAAGTGAATTGAATCGCTATACTGAGCTCATGGAGGAACTAGAACGATATCTGGGCCCGCTGGTGTTGGCTAGCAAATCTTGGTCACCAAAGGAGCAGAAGCCAATACATCGAAGCGTTTTGATTCAAGTACTGTCCGCATTGACTGCCTCAGTGGAAGGTCTTCTGACGAATCAGATGTTGGGCCATAAAATTCCAGGAGACGCTGTCAGTGCTCTTCTTAGCTCTCTTGAACTTCTATACTGAGATGAGCATCAGGTATTTAGGCCAAAAGTTATGAAGTATTTGATCTGTAAGATCTTTAATTTAAATTTTGTATGTTAAGCTAAAATCCCTTGGAATCAAGCACAAATTTCTTTTTATTTTACTATCTACCACCGGCCTTGCCCGTGGAAAGTTTAGTGCTAAAAATGTTCTCTTAAAAAATACGTTTAAAATGCATCGAATTAAGTACCAAACGTTGGAATCAACGGTTTCCACACAATCCGCAAATCTGCAAGCCGAAAAAAAAACTTTCGTTTATTTAACCTTGGCCCCGCCTACTCCATCCGAGAGCAGTGAATTTCCGGTCAAAGATATTTGTAAATGAGTTTAAAACCGATAAGCAGAAATTTGAAAACTTTCCGACAAATTTCCACAGTTGCGGGTGGAATTTCCAAAATCGCTGAAACATATACACATTTAATTCGCCTTTCATCCGATGCTTTCGCAATCGCATCAAAAAGAAAAATACTCGGAACTGACCTGTTTGGTTTATACTGGTACACAATTTATTTTAAATAGTCAGAAATACAATCAAAATACAGATACATCAAAGAGAAAAAATAAATGCAAAGTTTAACAAATGGGAACTGCAAAAAATTTGACAACACATTAAAGTCGTGCATTAAAATCCAATATACGGGCACCAAGAAACGATTTACGATACGAAGCCTGCGCTTTTGATTAGAAGCCACATTCGGTTCATTCCAGAATAGAAATATGTCAATTATTTTCCTACAAATCGTCGCAGCTGTCGGTGCCAGCAGGTTCCACATCCGAAAAATCGTTCTGCTCGTCCGCTGACCAGTTGCCGTCCGTTTCGCGCTCCTTCTGGACATACTGATTTTGGTGATATCGCATCCAAAGGATGCGACCTATATTATGCTGGGGTGTGTTGCCGCGCTCCGTGTCATAGACCAGCCAATGGCAATGCTGCTGTAGGTACAACGAGTCCAGCAGACTGGGCCAGTACATATTGAGACCATCTTTGGCAAGCTTCACGTGCAGCTGGTATCCGTGCTGCTGCTCCGATAATATTTTAACCGCGCCCAGTAGATTCAGAATGCAGCGCTGCGGCGGTATGGACTCGGTGACCTGGTAGACCAGCACATTGCCCTGATGCAGCAGCTCGTATTGCGGCACTTGCTGCTCAAAGATGAGCTCAATCTGCAAGAGAGTCTGGTGCCAGCGCACCTTTGGGCGCGCCGCGTTGCCAGCGATGGCGGCACAGCACAGCGCACTGGTCATCTTATCGGGTGTCAACTGTGGCTTTGATTTTGGCAAATTACTGGTCCTATTATTATTAAGTGTTTTCTTTGAAGGATTCGCCTCACCGGTTGTGATACTGTCGGCTCCAAGTATGTCTTGCATCAAGTGCTGTGCGGCCTCCTTCACCGCCGGATCAGCACTGCGCAGATCCTGCAACAGCGCGTCCATAAATAAAGCAGCGCTATCTACCATTGCTGCAGTCTCTTTTTCCTCCTGCACAGTTTTCCCAATTGGTTCTTTGGCTTCCTTGGCTGCCGCATTTGGATTTTTATGTTGCTCAATTGCCTTCTCGGGAGCTTGCGCCTCCTTGTTGAGCAAGTACCTTTGCACTGCACCAAAAAGTTGACTTAATTTGCCACCATTAAATGTGGAATTGGATGACTGCTGTGGGTGGTTTTCCCTGGTTAACCTTTCAATTATCTTTTCATCGCTCTCATTTTCCTCGGCCTCTGTCAGAGGCAGCTTCACATGCTGCACCTGCTTCTCTTCAAACTTTGGGCTGGCAACCTCCTCTTCTTTTAGTTTCTGTTGCTCTGAGATCACCTCCTCATGCAATTTGCGCAGGTTTTCCATGACTTGCTTCTCTCGCCTGGCATAGCCCCGATTGATCAGCTCGTCGTGTAGTTGCGTGGACTTCACGCAGATTCTCATCGCTGGACAGTCCTGCAGAACGGCAATTTCTTTCACATAGACAACATTAAACATGGTAAACTCCACAATTAGCTGCAGGTGCTGATTATCGCTTAGGTCACTCAGCATCTCCTTGACCCAATTGGTGGACTCCAGCCGCCAATCGCCCTCACCTACCGCTGGCACCAGACCACACAATCTCACATCCATAGCCAGGGGCGGCTCCGCTGTGAAGCGTGCGTCACACTCCAGCAGCTCGGCCGGCTTCACCTTCAGCAGTTCCGTACCCTCGTCCATTAACTGAACGATGACAAGCCGCTTGTCGGACAAATCGACGACGCGAACGCGCTGATATTTAATGCCACGGTGCAGAACGCATACGTCTGCGATTTTCAGCAACTGCTTGGGGCGACGATTCTGCTCTATGCTCATGTGCATGTAGAGAGCCGTACTCAGTTTTCGGAGGGTCGACAGGTTCAACGCCTCTTGCCAGGACTCGCTGTGGCTGGGCTTGTAACTGACAGCCATGACGGCAAAGTGAACCGGATCGTAGATTTTGATAATGTTGCAACGCACCGCAGTCTTTGGTTGCCACAGGGCACAAAGCTGCCGCTGAAAGTCGACACTGACTGGATAATGCCGTTTGCTGCAATACAACTGACCGCACTCGCCACTGCTCAGCATTTGGGGACAGAACTGACGACTCTGATCCGTCAGCTGGCGACAGCTGGCCACCATTTGCAGTATGTGCTCGCCCAGCTCAATGTCGTGGGCATCGAGGAATTGCACCAGACGCGGCAGCTCGTAGCTGTTGCTCTCGTCCAGCATCACGCAGGAGACAACGTTCTGCTTGAAATTCTGCGGAACCAGACAGTTGCTAATGTTATCGCTGACCGCATGAAAGCGGTAAGAGAACTTTGACCAAGATTCAGGCAGACTGTAGTGTACCATCAGCTCGAAATTCCCAACGGGCAGCTGGGTTTGCTGCACTGCATCAGTAAGCAGCAGCAACTGATGAATTTGCTGCAAAAAAAGGAAACAGTAAGGAATTCAGTATTACTATAAGGAAAAAGGAAAGTTCAATAATATATTTAGTAGTTGGGATATAGAAATAGAATAAACTAAGTTTTACCTCGAAGTGTTTAATTGCATAAAAATCTCGCTGAAAATTATTATTATTCTGGAAACTTTTCCATACTAATATGAACACTACAAACATATTTTATAAATAGCGAAAATGTGCTCAAAAACAAAAGAAATGCAAAACGAGTACGAAAACTATCTACGGCACGCGGAAGATTTAATACCCTTGCAGACCCAACTTTTTCAAGGTGCTTTTCCCGTATCAAAGAATCACAGGGATAATAGGTAATGCCGACTATGGTTAAGATATCTTGGAAAAACCAAAAGTTTTTCATACAACTTAATTTTAGACCGATCGTTCCTATGGAAGCTATTTGATATTGTGGTCCGATCCAGCTGCTTTATCTGACAAATCTAATTTTCCCTGTTTTAAATGCTCTCTAAACCTGATTCCACCTAAGATCTAGTCGGACAAAGTACTTGAACTAGGAGGAGACCTCTTGAGTCTTTGAGCACATTGGGGTAATCTCCAGAAAGTTAAAGACAAGGTTTCCATTTACCTGATTAGCTACTTCAGTTGGACCAATGCACTCGTAGCCAGCTTCAGTCAGCGCCTGTTGCAAGGCTGTCAACTCCTCGTCGTGTTTGCAGTAAATGATTGTACGCCTCTTGAGGGGATTCTGGACGCCCAGGTAGTCGAGTAGCTGCTGTGTCTTCTTGCTGCTGCGCAGCACTGCGACGTTGAGTTTGAGGCTTCCGTAGACGGCTGCTTCCAGGAAGTCGCCGAAAAGCAGAAGCGGATTGTCGCCAAAGCGTTTGACCAGCTCCAGAAAGACGCGTGCATGCCACTGCTGAGCGATGAGCACCAGCTGGAGCTGGGTTATGGCCATGTTCTGGACTATTTGCAGCAGCTCGTTGAGCAACTGGGGAACGGAGGCGCGCATGCGATCGTAGTCATCGATGACGAAGTATTTCAGACGGCGCGGATCGATGAGCTGCATGTCCTGCTGCAACAGTTGCTTCAAGTGTGTGGGCGTTGTCACCAGGATGCCGCAGGAATAGAGCAGTCGGATGTGCACCTCCTTCACGCAGTGGGCATGCGTGTTGACCACCTTCAACATGTTCGTTTTGTAGGAGCCCATCAGGTTGGTGCAATGATTGAACAGCGCCTGGGCATTGGCCACGGAGTCCGCTAGCAACACAGCTAATGGCCCCAGGCTGGGCTCCTTATTGACGCCAATTGGTGTCGAGCGCATTCTGCGCATGACCAGAGAGCACAACGGCGGCAGGTAAGACCAGGAGCGACCGCTACCAGTGCGATCGACCAGCACCAATGTGTTGCCCTTCATCAGATGCGGCCAGGAATAGCGCTGCGTGGGCAACACCGTCTGCAGATCCATCTCGCCCATGGCCATGAGCACGTCCGTGCAGAGCAGCGAGTCCGACAAGCTGCTCATTGGCCGCACAGGCACATTGCTATGGGCCAGCACAAGATTATCGATGGGGCGCAGTTCGAATGGTGGTGACTTCTCTGGCATATTATTCGATTTAGCTGGCAAACGGTATTCGTTGTAGATTCGGTCTAGTTTGTCCTGGTAAAGAGGTTCATCTTGGGCCAGCACAAGATTCTCGATGGGGCGCAGTTCGAATGGTGGTGACTTCTCTGGCATATTATTGGATTTGGCTGGCAAACGGTATTCGTTGTAGATTCGGTCTAGTTTGTCCAGGTAAAGAGGTTCATCCACTTTAACACTTCGATTTTGCGACTCGGCTGCCTGGAGAGACACCGACTGGGCGGGATTCCCATTCAGCGATAGGCCGCCCATCTCATTATGGAGACATTCCAATTTTTCTTTAGACAGAGATACAACCTTGGGTTTGACAGATTCCTGTCCGAATTTGCTTGTGAATTCTTGGGCAGAGACCAGAGATATGCTCTCATGCTTACCCGGATGCGCAAAGTCTCTCCCATTGACCAGCTGTTCCACCTTTGGAATTTCTTGTATTTGATGGAGCGAGCTCCTATTTTCCTTCAACTGGGTGACCTTAATGTGCTGCTGATTGACCTGTGGCTCAACCATTTCCTGCCGGTAATATTCCAAAATGTTTCTTCTGTTCAATCTGACGAGCTTTGATTGTTGATCAGGAGCATCGAAACTGTCCGAGGAGCAGTTGCTGCTGCTCGAGTTGCCTGAGCTAAATTTAAGAGCAGTCTCCACGACGGTGTCATTGCAGCTATTCACCTTGCTCAGACGCTTCGCGGAATTTGGTATCTCTGGCACAGTCCGGGCCTGCAGCAGTGTGTCCAGCTTGGCCGACTGCTTCGAGGGACAGGTCAGATTACGTGTCTTGGTGCCCAGCCTATGATAGCCATTTTTAAGGATCGAATCGACATACTTCTGTTTCTCTTCACTGTAAGTCTGGGAGTTGGTCTGTGGCTCCAGCTTAGGTAGTGTCAGCAGCATCTTGGGACGCTGCAATTCCATCAATTCGAGTATGGTTAAGGCACGCGTGTTAGGCCTAATGTCTGGGTCATTCAACTCCGCCAGATCCATGTCGTTCTCAGCCCTACAGCTGTGGGCCTGTATTCTGCTGAGCTCCTTTTTCTCCAGCCGCGCACATTGCTTCTCCACCAGATAGCTGGCAGCATTCAGCAAGGATTCGGCTGGATGCGGCATTTGGAGCCACAACTGGCCAAAGTTGTGTCGCTCATCGTTTCGGTACTCAACCTTGAACATCAATCGTTGGGCCTCCTCCATTCGCTTGTCGAGCAGCCGCAATGCCATTTTTGACCACTCGGTGCCCGTGCGGGGCGCAACACAGGCCACGCCGCCCCACTCGATCTCGATGTACTTTTCGCTGAGGAACGCTGGCAGCAGCCACAAATCCTTGGCCCTGCAGTTGATGGTGAAGCCATAGTCCATCGCCCAGACAAGATACTCGTCGTGCTGGCAAACCGTAACGAGGCCCCGCAACAATTTGTGCATATTCAGCGGTTGATAGCGCACGATGACATGCTCATTCGATTCATAGTTCTCCCGCTGGTTTTGCGCGTGACAATGCGCCAATAGATGCGTCTCCACCTGGTTGACATAGGCTCCGCACGACTCCAGTTGATGCAGCGTTATGTAGCAGAACAGCTGCGGACTCACATAGTGCGTAATCACAATGGACTCCATTGCCTCAATGTCCAGCTTTTGCATCTGCTCTGGTTCCTTCTGCTTCGTTTGAACTGTGGAGAAGAAAAATGCTCAGTTTCCATTGCTTTAAGTGAAGCCTGCTTTAAAGGCAGTTCTCCACATTGGGGCTAAAATATCAAAGGAAATTAATGGCCGTAGATTAAAGTTCAAATAATTTTCCACAGCGCCGGCAACAATCATTCATGCGGAAAGTTCTGTGATTTCCACGCCAGACCAACTTTTGGCTTTTTTGTCGCATCGCAAAAATTTCATGCTACATACATATATTTATATATACTACAGTAAAAGTTCTACTAACGGACAGCTCAATGAGACAAACGTATCTCTGCTTAGTTAGCTAACAATTAACTAGGAACAGTATTGCCGTGTTACTTAAGAGTATGCAATAGTATTGCCGTGTTACTTAGGGTATAGAACAGCATTGCCGTCTTACTTAAGGGTATGGAACAGTATTGTCGTGTTACTCAAGAGTATGGAACAGTATTGCCGTGTTACTTAAGGGTATATCTCATTAGTCAAGAAAAAATATTGGTAGAGAAGGCGTCCGCTTTAAAGAGCATTCACTGTACACACTTGTATAAATGAAGCAGTGTGTCATTAGCCCAATTTAAGACCATGTCCATTAAATTTTGCAACTTGGCTAATTAAATTTGAAACAAAGCTTTTGCTGTGCAGTTAAGCGGCGCTTTTTTTCGCATTTAAAATGCAGAATGCAAAGCAAAAGTGCCAAAAGCCGCAACTACCGCGTCTAGTGGAAGTCCTTGTGCCTATTTGCCACTTGTTTGTGCCGCACTGGAAGTGCACTATGCCAGCTCAGCCACAGCCACCCGTTGACAGTTGTCCACTTCAATTTGTTGCTGTGTAAATGAATTTACTGCAAAAGCTAAACGGTAACACTTAACCCACTGCTGATGTTTCCAGTACTGAAACGTTAACTATAAATTGATTAATAAACATAAAAAAACTCAGTTTGCTAGATGCCCTGTATATCTACTGACCCTCATTCTAACGAAATAAAAAATAAATAAATATAAAAAACTGACCCGGCTACAGTGGGTTAACGATAAACTTGTCAGCTGTTCAGCGCCAACAATAGGCGAATTTAAGTATTACGATCCGCTTACAGCGAAGACAACAACCATGCCGATTAGCTTCTGAGAGAAAACACAACGCGGCCGCCTACCCCTACCGCAACTACGTGGGCAGCGGGACGTGCCAGTAAAAAAAAAGTGTAATTTATCATATAAAAAATCTTATAAATGCAACGAAATCATCCAGAAGTGGTGGAACATATGCAAATACGTTGCCGGTCGCAGAGGGGTGGACAGATCAATCAAGCCTTGGCTATTCAAGTGCAAAAACCTAAGCTAATTTGTAAATGATACAACAATTAAAGGGTATGTACTTACATCGCTTGGCTTGGCTATTGATGCAGGCAGACATTTTGTGATAGACTGAGGAGAATCCGCAACGAGTGGAAAAAACAATACAGTTAAAATGATTAAAAGAAAACGCGTACAAAGATGTCAGGATACAATGCGATTGGCTGCAAATAAAAATAACAATAATTAAAGTGACAGTAGGCTTGTCAAAAGATTTGACAGTAAAATCAAGGTCTGCTAGGTTTAGACATTTTTAAAGACAACATACATAAGTCAAATTCAATTAAATATAATCATAAAAAACAAAAGAACATCGCATTAATAACAATAAAATGGCAATTTAAAAGAAGGTTCACATATAAACATCTATAATTTTTATGGCAATAATGGTAAATATGTACATATCTTGATGACCACTTTTTGGACACACTACATACATATACAAAATATAACATCCAATTCAGCAGTTTTGCCTTAAAAATTTTAAATAACTTTTCTTTAAAGATCAACATCAAGTGATTAAAAAAATTAAGAACTTATTTTAAATTGACAGCCATTGATTGCCGTGTCTGGTTCGTGTTGGGCTAAGCCCCGTTCTGAGATTCCACACTCACATACATACGTCCATCCCTAGATCTAGCGAGGAGTTATCATACAGCCTCACACATGTAAACAAAACTTATAACGGCGTCTCAAAACTACTTTATCAGCGAATATGGAAGTGAAACAACGTAAACAAAATGAGAACAAAATCGGCATTTGCATGAGTCTAAATAACTTTTTAAATCTGTTGCAAAGCTCTGCTTAAAGTACAGGAGATAAGAAATTATTTAGTATGCGTGCGTACATGTTTTATATTAATACAATTATTTGCAAGCAGTACTCACCGAATAATCAGTTGTCAATAATGAAAATAATTATATGTTTAATAAAAACAATTCATTTGCAAAAGCTAAGCAGCTGAAGATGCACGTTGCTTTGCACAACTCTGGAAATAAGTGCTTTGAAACAAATACGGATGCACACGCGACAAGACACAGTTAAAAAAATAAAAGGAATTTCATAACTCAAAGCAAACAGCTTTATACAACTGCACTTTTTAATTAGGAGACATACATATGTATTTCTTTTTTTCAGTTTTGAACAATAAGTAAACTACATTTAAACTACGATATGAAATAAAAGCGCTGCTTTGATCGACTGCCGTCGCTTCACAGTTTACGTCTGGTCGCCGGCTTTACGAAAACATCTACACACACAGGAATGTTAGACATGCATATGCACGTTGGTGTGGTATGTGTGTGTGTGTGTGTGTGTGTGTGTTCATGGGTATCGTATTTCTTTTGTGTGTATGCGATAATATGTTCTGAGTTTCAAAACTTCACATTTTACTGGCAGTTAAAGACAAGTGGATGGTATTTTAAAATATCCAAGAAAACGATTTATCTACTATGTATTTTTAAAAAACATGAATTATTTATCTCCATTTGCTAGTTTTATAGTTCACTTCTTAAAACGTGTGTTAAAAATATTAATTTATTGATACTCTACTTTCTTTATGATTTATATCCAAGTTTCGATCAATAAAAGCCCTTACTTTAGACTTATTAAACGCATATACATACATATGTACATATATACATAGGCATGTTCATACATGTTTTCCCTTATAAATCATTGCAATCGGCAACTGCACGCACCCTTTTCCCAACCCTTTGTTGGCTAATTTCAAAACAAAGTGTGAACAATTTATTTGTCCCCAAAAAAGTTGATACTTTCCCTATAGAAAACTGCACAATTTCACCCTTTTTAACCCTTGTTGCAACTTTCACTGTCCCGCTTCTTCCGTTTTTTTTTTTGTTTTCTTTTTTTTGCCGTTGCTTGTCGCCTATAAAAAAGTTTTATGCCACTGGGTCGACGTCGTCGTCTGTCGTGTGTACTCAACCCCGCTTTCCTTGTGTGGGTTTAACTCCTTTTTTTATTTGATTGTTTCATATTTATGAGGATTATGGCTTAGTGCTGAATGCCGTCTGCCTTGGCAAGTGGCTGCTACGTGTGGTAATTTATTTTGTGGTTAAGGACTCTCGTCTGGACCCTTACTGATGGATGCCTCGGCCTGGTCCTAAGTGAAAGTTCTATTTCAACTGGCGCTGCCGGATTCGCATTGTTTGCGAAAATGCGAAGGGACGGAAGATCGCACGCACAAGATAAACACCAATTGTGTGCGCAAAAGTGGATGAGGTCAGTGCACAGTTCAGTTTCTAACGGACTCAATTGAAATGTGGCAGTTGCGATGCGCTTTGCCAAACGTTTATTTAAACAAATCAGGCCGCACGGGTTAAAAGCCATTTGTTGGGCGGGGTGGGGGGAGGTGGTTTGAATGGGTGCCTAGGCTTGGCACGCATTTCTGTTTATTTTGCAAATCGTTGAGCTACGCCTTTGCTCAATATGACGTTCAATTTATGGCATGCATGCGTGCTGCCCTAAATTAATATTTATACATTTAAGAGATTTTATAATCTAAACTTGGCAAGCGCTAGGTTAAAACAAATTGTCCATAATGTACACAAAGAAATTAGTGTTTTCGGCTAAACAGTATGTATTCATTATATGTAATACATAAATAATTTGAGTGTGATTAACAAAGTTGAAAATTAATTACTAGAAATAAAATGAACATTAAAGATAATCATATGGGAATCCAATTAATAAAACCATGAGCAATCCAAACAATAAAACCATCAGCTGGTCATACTTTTGTTTATATTTTAATTTGATGGACATGCCAACTTATCTAAGAAATGCCAACCTGCTTTGCAGAAAAATACCTAAATAATCGATAGGCACGCGCATCACATGTCGGGCGCCATTTTTGTTTTCGATACAAATATTATATCGACATACACAAAGCGCATCACACATATAAAGACACAAAAAAAAATAAGCAGGCTGCGTACGAAAAATTAAGAAAATTAATTAAGCGCTGCGAACGACGAGTTTGTGCTAAAGCAAATATACCATTTTTGTGTGTGTCGTCCTTATACCAGCAGCAAAATAACCAAGTTTAATATACGCCTTGATAACATCATGTCGAAAAATAAAAAATTGTCGCTATCGGGCGACTCGACAGAGAAATTCATCTACAAGCCCAAAGATTTAATATGGTAAGACTGCGATGCTTAAAGCAAAATGGACGTGGTCTAAACAATAAATAAACAGCGAATATGACTTGTGTATTCTAAATTCCACTTTGTGTCCGATTTGTGAAAAGAAAATTAAATGCAAACATACATAACCTCAATTGCCGCTGTGTTGGGCAAGCGGAAAATTATTGGAAGAATACAAAAAAACAATTGACTCATAATTAAGCAAAACATAAAAACATTTAATACATTTATGTTTTCTTAACACCACATAAACGATTTGGTCGTAGTTGGCTCTGCCGACGTTTGCTGTTGCTGCAGCAACGACGTCGACGTCGCTGCGTTGGCGCTTTTTTCGCGCGCGCGCGCCTAATTTTATACATAGTAGTTTTTGATATTAATAAAATCTAAGCAAATGCCTAAGACTAAGCTAAAATGTTATATTTATTTATATTACAGGGCCAAAATGAAGGGCTTCACACCATGGCCGGGAATGGTAAGCGAAATGTTTATGCTGCTGTCGACGGCGACGCCGCTGCCGCTGCCGTGTTTGTTTTCGACTGTACTTTTTTCTTGTACCAGCGGCAGAGGCGTCGGACGTGCGCTGCTGCCTCTGTTACTGTTGCTGCCGACGTCATAACGCACTTGCATGCTTCAACATTTGTTGTTGTAAACGAAGCGTTCTGTCTCTCTGCTGCTGCTGCGGTGTAGTGGAAAGCGTTGATAGCAAGAGCTCGCGCTTGTTTTGTGTTTAACTTTAAATATCACAGCTTTTTTCTATGTACAGCCGAACAATGAAAGAAAAAAGAGAAAAATAACATTCACAGTGAAATAGTTTGAACTTTGCATCGGTGCGTGTGTGCTGTGTTGTTATTGTAAATACGTGCTAGAAAAATAGCTGGTGTATTTTGTGATCTTTTATAATTGTTTTAATTGTTGTGTTGCAGATTGTGGAGCCGCCGCTAGATCTGCTCAGCCAGCAGCGACGCGCCAATACGAAATGTGTCTTCTTCTTTGGGTCGCGCAACTTGTAAGTAAATTCGAAGATTCGAAGGAAGTAAAACATTACTAATCGTAAATGATATGTTTGTGTGTATATACAGCGCCTGGATTGAAGAGCACAATATAAAGCCGTTTGAGGGTCCTTGGAAGGAAGAGCTGGCAAAAGTTAGCAAACCGGCCGCCTTTAGGCACGCCATGGCCGATATTGACAAATATGTGGAAAGTCCTGCAGAAATAGACGGCCAAATCGATGAAAGCTGTGGCATGGCCAATCACGCCACCGAGGCAGACTTCGACAAGATACGCGATGGCCTGGACACCGACGAGAATGCTGAGACGGCAGCCGATGGCAACAATGGCGTTGTCCCCCATGTCGTTGGCAGTCCCGATGAGTCGGTTGTGCTGCACACTTGTGGCGCTCACAACAGTGTAAATGTTGCAACGTCCCCAATTGTGACAACTACGCCAACTGTCAAGAGTCAAGCGAAACGTACACCCAAAGCTAAGTCCAGCGCCGCTGTCGTTGTCAGCAGCAAGCAAGCGAGCAAAGCGGCCTCTGCGAAATCAGCGGCAGCACAAAAACGACGTATCTCGGCACAACACACGCCCACCGGTGCAGGTAGCGCCAAGCGCGGCCGACGCGCTGCATCCGGCGAGGCGGACCATTATGAGAGTCCAGGTGCCGATTACGATGTCGGCAGCACATCATCGCTGGCAGCAAGAGCTCGTATTGACACAGATGCCTTTTTGGGCACGTTAACAAAGCGCACGCCCAACGCAATTGCGCTGCTGGATCGACCGGTTGTCACGCGGCCAGAGACACAAGCCATAGACATGAATTCGCGCTCCAATACATTGGCAGATCGTGACATAGTGCCGTCGGAGCAGACATTTGGTTTTCTTGGTCTAGGCATGATGGGATCGACTATTGTCAAGGACTTGATTTTCACGAAACACAAGGTTGTGGTCTGGAACCGCACCATTGATAAGGTGAATCTCTTTTCGCCCCAAAGTTAATTATTTTGATTAAATGTTGTTGTTTTATCTCTATCTGTTTATTCCAAACGTGTTCAGTGTCAGCCCTTTGTTGATGCTGGCGCTGAGGTTAAGGACACGCCTATGGATGTCGTGGAGGCGGCGGACATAATATTTTGCTGTGTGTCAGATCCCAAAGGTGCCAAAGATGTAAGTTCATTTAGCATTTTTACTTAAACGGAATTCTCGGCGTATGTTTACGGCTGTCATATAAATAAATCTTCCAGTTCGTAAGTTACCTATATAACTTTGAATTGCGAGATGCGATTTTCCTAAACTATTAAGAGATTCTATAAGTTTGTCCCAAAATTTGTAATGTACATATATGGGACCCATAGAAAGTTGAAAATGGAATTCGTCACAAATATATTGTGTACTATAATGTCGGCAAGGGTATTTACTTATTGGCATTTCGAAAACATCATTTATCTCTTATTCTATTTCAATTGTGTTTTATGTTGCAGCTCGTCTTCGGCAACTGTGGTGTCCTGCAGCTGAAGGATTTGCGGAACAAGGCGTACGTGGAAATGTCGACCATCGATCCGGACACGTCAATGGATATTGGAGAGGGCATCAAGCAATGTAATGGCCGATATTTGGAGGCACAAATTCACGGCTCGCGACAAGAGGCCGCCGATGGCATGCTTATCATATTGGCCGGCGGTGATCGCACAGTCTTCGAGGAGTGCCATTCCTGCTTCAAGACTATAGCCAAGAACACCTTCTTCTTGGGCAGTAAGTTGAGAATACCAATAATATTTAGCTAGTCGCAATCGTACACTATAATTTGGAAATTGGTTTTTATCCAGCAGATGTTGGCAACGCCTGTAAAGTGAACCTCATTTTGCAAACCATTCTGGGCGTCAGCCTTGTTGGCCTGGCAGAGGCGTTAGCTTTGGGTACGTTGACTCGTTATGATACGACTAAATCAAATTTATAAATGCGTTTAATTGCTTGCAGCTGATCGTTTTTCCATTTCGTTAAACGATATCATAGACATATTCGACTTAACTTCTATGAAATCGCCGCTGCTGCTAGCAAAGGGCAAAGGTAAGTGTTAATATTAGCAACTAACTAAGTATTAATATTCTAAATATTTATATTGATTTCCCTTACAAAAACTCTTTTTTTCTATTGTAAATTTCGAACAAGTTGCATTTGTCGTATTAAAGTTTTGCTTAAAGATCCAAATGGAATTAAAATCATAAAAATATAATAGATTCATGTGTTAGTTGTTGATCGGAAGTTGACAGGAACAGAAGTTAAATTTGTCCAGAAATTATAATTGACTTGCACGCATAGTTATTATCTTAGACATTTTTAATTTTTCCTAATTTCAAACAATTTTGGATGTAAAATATCCAAAAATCGGAAATAGTTTAGTTAAAATTTAGTTAATATATTCATATATTGACTGCATAAATAGGTTTATCTAAAAATACGAAGCATTGATTTCTTTCGGCATAGATTTGAATATTTGCATAAATCGTTGAAATTTTCAAGCCATTTAGAAATATATGTCTTCTTACATTATAACTTTATTTACAATTGTTCATGATATGTATTTTGGATATTATTTTTATGTGCTCTATTTTTTATTAATATATCTGTTTGTTTTTTCAGAAATGGCCAAGGGCGACTTTAATCCGCAGCAACCGTTAAGTCATATGCAGCGCGACTTGCGTCTTGTACTCAACATGGCTGAGAATTTGGATCAGTCGATGCCTGTGACGAGCATTACGAATGAGGTGTTTAAGCATACAAAACGCTTGGGGTACAGCGAGCACGATTCGAGTGCTGTATTCGTAAGATCCAGATTTTAACATTTAGTTAACACGACTACCATTTAAACTATACTTTATCATTTAGTTTAAACCGTACACAAGCAAACGAAACGTAACATACATATAAACTGACACACAGCACAAACACACACACACACACACACATACATACATACATACATACAAACATAGATACATTTGGAGTCGTGTTGACAGCAGTAACCACACACATGTTGGCAACTGGTTGCATCAATTTGTTGTTGTATAAAATCGAAGAAAAAAAATTGATGCATGTATTTGCGTTACATTTGTGTAGTTATTGTTATTGCAACACGAGTTCTAATCCATTCATATCTCTACCCCAACTGCCTCTTTACTCCACCCTAAACGCATTCGCACACAAAACTAGAGTAACTTCTATCCAGATCAAAGTCTAAAGCAAGAAACCAAGCCAATTAACATTCTGGCGAACGTGTCAACCAGGCCGGGTCTCTTGTCTCGTTTGGAGATGCCGCCGCCAAGCTTGAGGCGCGAACGCTGGGCCAGCGTTTGAGATCAGATATACGAGAGATAAGAAATTGAGAGAAAGGGAGTGAGAGTGAAGAGAAGATAAATATGAAGAGAATTGATGAGTATTGATGAGAGACCCATGTGAGAGACGAGATCAAAGGGGCGCGCATATACACATATACATAGCCAGTTGATGAAGCAGTTGTGTGTTAGCGGACCGCTTTCATACCTCCTTGTGCGTTATAATTTTATAGCTCTGATGTTTTTAACATTTATTATAATTATTATTGTTTTGATTTATTTTGGGCATAATGTCAGCCGTCGCCGTTGTTCGAGCAATACGCATGAATTCCTTCCCCCCGCACCCTCGAAGGCCGCAGAAAATGGGCCAGACATATGTCAAAGTCTGCATATTATTGAAATATATATAGGTCGAGCGGCTGCTTCTCTTTTGGTGTTATGTTAAGGTTGCTTCCCAAGTAAAAATAATTTATATTAATATACAAATACACATGTATTTATGATTGTTGGAGAGCATGCGATTAAATTGTACAAAAAGTATATATTTTGAAACAAAAGCAACAGTAAACAAATTTAAAATTTCGACAAAAATAAAATGAATACAAATTAATAAGGCCTTGCTTGTACGCGGCGCTGGCAACACATTCAATTTAATTTAAACGAAAACAAATTTTGCATTATAGATAGTTTACTTATATCGCACATAAATCTAGAACCCATATTGCCCAATGCAATACCAACTACCATTTCGTAGTTTTCTTTGTTCATAATCATAAAAACAAACAACAAAATACATAACTGGAACAGAAATAAAAAAAAATATAAAAAAAAAAAACAAAACAAAAATTATAGTGTAAACATTTAGAGCCAAGAGAGTTTCGAGGGATCTATATTAATAATAATAAGATTATATATATACATATATATTTATATATATCTATATATATAAATAAATAAATAAATATATTTTACTTATTATTTAGTCTGTATTTTGTTGTAAAACAAAGAATAATAAAAACCTTAATTTTTAACTATATTCGCAGCTAGAAACAAAATCAAATATATATCGACGCGACTAAGTTGATCTGTGGATTAACACTCTGATTTGATTATAATGGAATAAGTCTGTGTTTTTTTTTCTCAAGAGAGGGAAGTTTTCAGGGTTTCTTGTTTCCAATTTAAACAAAATACTTAAATTGTACAAAAGGTACTCTTAGACAATTATTGTGAATATTAGAATTATTGAAATGCCCGCAACTACAGTTTTTTGCGAATAGAAAATTCGTCTTATATTCAGTTGCCATAATTTTCAATTTTTCTAATTTAAATTCTCGTACTATTAACTTTGAAAATTCATGAAAAAAGCGAACTTAAACGTCTATAAACTGGGAAGAAACTTACTATGAACATAGCAGAAGCATTGAAAAAATTTTCCTTATAGAAATTTCCTGTCAAGTTGCTTTTGAAAATTATTACAGTACTGTGTACGTACGCACACATTCTAGACGGCAATGTTTTTTTTAAAAATCATACTATAGTATTTTAAAAACATTCGACTAACCGATCCAAGGACATCATGGATCTATTACGGTATACATTTATGGTCTTGGTTTTGGTACTGCTGATATACGTAAGGAACGTTAGTGCTGTGGACGATAATTTACTAACGGAATGCCAATTAATGCTGTATGCCAACAATGAGACAACATTCGGTGTGGAGACGACGTTCGTGGTCACTCTGGCTGAATATCCGAAAGCTCCGGTTGTACTGCGTATTAGTACGGTCAGGTACTTGGTGGCCTTTTGGGAAATCGGGCGTGGAGCTAAGGGGATGCGACCCAGTTTTGTTTATACACGGAATATAGGCAACGAGCTCCAGCGGCGCATGATTGAGCCAAGCGTAAATGTGAGCTACCAAACGGGCTTCTACGCGGAATTAAAGGCAACCTTCTATGAGTCGGTGCAGACAACACTGAAACTGGAAGGCACTGCGCCATCAAAGAAAAATGTTATTCCAGTTCAGGTGGTTGTATCGTTGGCTATAAATAGACCTTTCAATTGCACACCCGACCTGAGTGTGATGCACTGTTCAAATCCCGATACTCCGCAGCAGGTAATTGTCACCCGCAGCATGTTATTTCGGGCATTTTTCATAAAAAGCTGCAACCTGACGGATGCGAATCTTACATGGACCGTGATGGATGTGCTTGGGAAGGGTGAGTTGCTGATCTCGATCAGTTGTTCTATAGAGCTAATCCCTTAACAGAAACCTTGAAAAGCTTTCCCGGCGAGGATCTGACGTTTAATTTAAAGAGCTACGAGCTGCGTTCTCCAATGAAATTTGAGCTTTGGCGATATCTCTACATGCTCTACATCGAAGGCATTTTTGACGGCGAAAAATTCGCGGCGCGCTGCTATCTGAGGGTGCAGCAGGAAAAATTGGAGGTGATCATTAGCGGAGGCGCCACTAGGGATGCCTACTGGGGCAGTAAAATAAACTTGGACGGCTCGCTGAGCCGCGATTACTCCAAACGGCCTAAAGATGACCAATTTAAGGCTTATAATTGGGACTGTCACTCATCTGATGATTATTTCAACATGGCCTGCCGCTCGGATATCTCTCGAGGTAAATAGACAACAAATCACTTATAACCATGCGATTGCTCGTAATACGCTGCATTATGTTAACCAAGCAAGCAACCCGAATTTGTAGTGTAGCCTTTAATATCTTCTCAGATTCGGACTCGGGTTAAGCATTAGATTATGGTAAAGACTCGTTGATCAGCTCTTAAGTTCAGTTGCTATAACAAGCTCCGTTTGCCTGGATTAGGATCGGTTAGGGTATAATTATTTCTAGACTCGCCATACCTCTGAGGGTATTTGATCCAGATTTGTTCTTTTATAGTTAATGCAATTATCGGAGAAAGATCAAAGTATTTGGATTTTGTGTATGCAAGCTTATTTAGTTTTTGACTATAGTCCTTATTTTTATTGATCGCTTGACGAAAAATTTAATTCCTGTCTGTAACCATTTGCAGTCGTGAAATTCGGAGTAGCCGCTTATTCATTCACTGTTGGATGTCGCTATATATTTACCTTAAAAGTTGCGTCCGAGTATGATGCCGGTCTCAAAGGGCAAGCGGTGCAGACAATCACAGTTGTGGATATTGAAAACTTGCATGTAATGATTGTTTGCCTGTCAAACTGCTTTCATAGTACGTACAATCCGATGAGCAAGGTGCTCCTTGCGGGCAAGTGCTTTAACTGTCACAGTATGCATACCAGCTATGATTGGTATATGGAGGATCAGCTGGTGCACACCTCTAAAAAAGTATCCATGCATATACGCACGGACAAGACGATGGCGTACATCAAGTTGGTTGTCCGCACAAATGATGGTCGCACCGGCAGTCAAGGCAAGAGTCTAACTAAGAGCATCCCGCCCCTAGGCGGAACGTGCACAGTGAATCCCGTGAAAGGCATTGAGGCCATCACACAATTCGTGGTATGCTGCATTGGCTTCCAGACCCGCAACACTCCTATCGAGTTTTTTTACTATGCGGAACGCGTACTGCTCAACAGATGCCAAGACTGCGGATGCTCAATTCATCTGCCGCTGGATTTGTATCTTATCAAGGTGCTCATCTGTGACGGCTTGTTCACGTGCCTCACAAGGTATGTGCGGGTGACGGTAACTCCATTGATGAACATACCTTTAGACTCACCGGAAGATTTGAGCACCTTCATCGCTAAACCACCCAACGATGTGGTGAATCTGGCCACCCAAGGGCACCTGTTGCGCTTCCTCCAGACCATACAATCGCTGGCCGCAGGCGTTAAAACCGCTGAGAGCGGTATGATTTTGATCAATGCCTTTCATAACATCAATCTTGAGTCACTCTCTGCGCTCGGCAAGTTGGCCAATCTGACGCATACATTGGCCGTTCAGTTGTCGCCGATCGATAGAAGTGAACAGATTGTTCTGATCGGTTCGGTAACCATACTGAACAAGATCTTTCAGTCTGTGCACAGCAACGATATGAACAAGATGCTCGTCGAGGAGCCCTTTATCAATGTGACGGTAGCCTGTGTCACAGTCTACAACATTATGAATAGTCTCAACAGCCAAATCCCACGTCCACCACAAGACATTTACGACAAATACTTCGTCGCTCTCAAAAAACATAAGCTGGATCAGTCGGTCATTGATGAGCTAGCGGCCATCATCTGTGGCTACACTAATGAGGACGCTAAAGAGCGTTCATTGACCTGGTTGAACTCAATGTGGGAAACGGAGCGTCTATATCGCTTCCTGTACTTTGCTCGCAAGCATGGCTTCCAGCCGGAATATGGCGGCACCAACGTCGAGGGCTTGTCCCTAGAGGTTAAATGCTTCGACATAGAACCTGGTCACACCTACAAGATCGAGACGAGCGACCACATGCATAGGGTATATATCTCGCCGGAGCTCCTGCAAGAAGTGAAGAAGCCGTACAGCGAGCACATTTGCATCAAAGTCATCTCGACAATGCGCGAGCTTAACTGGTGGTATCCGGAGGAGAAGCAGCCCAGCTCGGTACTGCTCTCGGTGCGCATTTATCATGATAGGGACGACTTCACGGTGGAGCGTCTATTGAAACGCAGCACGTTGAGCTTCAGAACCATAATTGGCAAATACAAGCCTGCCGTGGATCGTCCTAATGTGGGTAAGCACTAATTTCAAAGGCGGCCAGGAAGGAGTACAACTCTATTCTAATTCGAATTAATATTCTAATGGAGTAACAAGATCGGATATTTTCGGTACGCCGAACATTAAATACTCTATAGAATAGAATTCTAAGGCGATGCTTTATTTCCGTCGCATTGTTTCTATATCCACATGATTAATACGGCTTTGAAGATAGGATTTGGGATAAATCATACTGATACTCTGATTGCTGACTTTGTGCTTCATTAATAAAAAACCAAGTAAGAGGTTCTAGTCGGGAGCTCCCGACTTGGGGATACCCTCTTCTTCCAACAGGCGATAGGTATAAAATGAAAGGTACTTGATATATATACTATTCCAGAAGCTTCATGTCAAGCTTGGTGACTAGCTCATATTATTAACCGAAATTGCCCATAAAATAGGATTTCGATATCGATTTTTATCGATAACTTGGAAACGGGGCAAGTTATCTAATATCGGACTAGGACTAGTCTCTGGCTCTTATAGGTTCTGAGATCCTTGCGTTCATACATACGGACATACGGACAGACAGACAGACGGACATGGCTAGATCTACTCGGCTGTTGATGTTGATCAGGAATATATATACTTTATGGGGTCGGAGATGCTTCCTTCTGCCTGTTACATACATTTGCACCAATACATTATACCCTTTTTACCCATTTTCAATGGGTTCAGGGTATAAAAAAACAAGTTGGTTCTTGCAAAAATCCATATTTCGACCGATTCCTCCTGTATGATACATTTCGTGCCCAAATTCTGATACTCTATGTAAGAGTGAAAATTATAAAAACCTGTGCAGGGATCTTTTTGTTCCTTCAGTTATACACATCTTCCAGAGACTCAAATTTCAAGCTTTCAAAATTAATTACATTTTCTTGCAAGACTCCCTTCCAGTAGTCTGCATCGATAAATATGGATCTATGGAGGCTGTCAAGCAATAGCATATATTTGAGATTTAAATAATATTAAAATATTTTTATTTTTAACTAGTTTGAACATAAAATTAGCACACATCAAATTTGTTAACTACATAATTATCTCGCACAATATAAACTGACGATACACTTAGTTCCAACTGGGAACCAAGTTTAAAGGTAGAATATTTGGCAAAAGACTTCTAAAAATAATGTTTTCAATTTTTCAGCCGTAGCAAGAAAACCTATAAGGCCTGTAGCTGAACCCATTGGGACAGCTCGACAGAACAAAGCGTACGATGATGATGAAAACGAGGATTTCGTCGCTGAAACTGGAAAGTACATGAATTGCCTCACTCATGCCAAGTTGGAAACTATGCAGAAGGTGCTCATTTATCGCGTCAATGTGGATGAGACGTCGATGGTTGCGGTACGCTTTACGCAAACCACACACAAGCTGCAAGTGCTTCTAATCTTTGGAAACCTACCGAAACGGTTGAGGGAGGCCATTTCCAAGACCGGTTGCATTGTTCCAGCCAATTCGCTAAACTCGACGATGCTGTTGCGCAACAATTGTATGCAAACGCATCGTGTCTATGTGGCGATACAGGTCTATGGGAGCTCCGAACACGAGGCCAAGTTTAGTACTCCAGTGCCGGACGGGCCGGCCCTCTTTTCGTTTGTTTTTCAGGTGCGCAGCTGTGATTATTGGATGTACAGCAATCCCGGAGATTCGCAGCGTTGGGGCCACACTTACTGCCAGCCCGGACTGGAGTATCCAAGGACGGGCTCCATGGACTGTACGTGCTCCGTGCTGGGCACCTACACCAGCTATGTGTACCATGTGCCGGCCATAGCTGTGCCGTCAATCGGTTTTGTGCCCGTCGAGACCCATTGGTACATTGTGATCTGCTACTTTATATTGTTTTTACTGTTGGCCATTTGGCTGGCAATACTGTTCATTTACCATAACAAGCGACCCAGCAAGACGGTTGTTTGCGATATGACCGGCCTGGAGGATGAGGCCTATCGGGATATCCACGACGTGTTGGTCTTTCTGAAAACTGGTGGCCGCACGAATGCACTGACAACGGCCACGATACGACTGATCTTTCAGACAACAAATCGCAATGAGCTGCAGTTCACGCTGATGCAGGATCCGGAACATCCTGAGCTGACACGCAACTCCACCTACATACTCTGGCTGCGGACTCGAGACATACGCATACCGACCCGAGTTGCTGTTGTCCACAACAATGGTGGACGGTATCCCAGCTGGTTCTTGCGAAGAATCGAGGTGATGGACGTGCAGGCGCAGTTAACGCAGGTCTTTCTTGTGCAGCGCTGGGTGCACCAAAAGTTCTTGATACTCAGCTCCTCAATGGTACTCCGGCCGGGCGATGGCCGTGTTATGGAACGTTGGCGTGATCGATTCACCACTGAATTCGAGCGACAGTGGATCAACTGGGGCCTGTGGCAGCCAGTCACGGGCAGTTGGCGGGATAGCGCCGCTTTCGACAGCTTGACCCGGGCCCAGCGCGTTTGCATATTTGTCTCTAAATTGATGGTTACTTATTGCGTAGTCGCCTGCTATATGGGGCCCACTACCCCGGAAACTGTGTATGGGGATCGAAAGAGTCTGATTCAATATCGTGATTTGTTTTGTATGTTCCTTATTTGCAGTGTCTTAACCAATTTAGTTCATTTTGTGTTAGAGAAAGTTGTTTTAAGAAAGCGTAAAAATTTACTGTTTGATTAGAAAGAATAAAAGGATTACGAAAATAATTTTGACAATTAAAATAAACACGAATGTGTTAATACAGGTTATAAACTACCGTAAATCTAAAAGCAAAAAATAAAAAGAGAAGAAAAGAAGACAGAAAATATAAAATGTCAATTTTAGGAAAAGAAATAAGAAATAAACCGTTTATGGGTTTTCTTAATTATGTTACACGCAATTTAAATGTATATTAATATTTGATTTAATCGTTTTTTTAATGCTTTATATATTTAAAATTTAAACTTACATATCGTATGCACATACCTTTAGCTTTAAATATATATAAGCAGATATTTGGTATTTTTTGGTATTATTCGGTGTATTTCATATTTACTTACATACAATTTCACTCTTCTTCTTGCAGTGCGCTAGTTCGTTGTGCGTGTGTGGCAGAAATATTAAAATACTTGGAATCAATTAATAAAAAACCTTTCGATTACATAGTGCTTAACCAGAAATGTCGGAAAAGAAAAGAGCACGCCGTCGTAAAGATGTAAGTGTGGTCAAGGGCAAACCCAGAACCCAGCGTCCGTCGCATTAAAAAAATACAAAATTTACGTCATGCGCGATGAGTGTGTATATGTGTGCGTGTGTATATGCTACAGTCCAATTGGCATGCTCATTGTGTTTGTTTTCATTTTGATGCGTATCATAGACTTAAAAATCTGCCGAGTCGCCAACAATCTAACACTTATATATATGTGAATGTATATATAAATATATATAATGCCGAATCTGTTATCTGTGTGTGTGTGTGGGGGGGGGGGGGGGGGTCTCTGAATCGGAATTGCCATGCGGCCGGGCTGTATTTGCGTGTTTTGATGTTTCGTGTATACCTACATACATATGTGTGTGTGGGCGGCCTGCACTGTGTGTGCCCCCTGCTTGCACCCGGCTATTATTAACTTGTAAGTGCTGTGTATACCACAGTCACTTTGGAAGTGCACTTTTCGTCTTTTATTGTCCAGACAATTTAAAAATTAAACAGCTTTATTTGTACATCAGGCAACTAATCCCCACCACCCTCCCAATTGTCATAGTTCGCATAATCAAACAGCTGTGAGAGATTGTAATATTGGGACAGATCTGGCAACGCTGACACATTGAAAAGCTTGTGTTGTAAACCAACGTTGTGAGCGGGAATAAAGTACGAATGTATTAGTGATCGGCAGCAACCTTGTTGATAATTTTACGCTCTCACAGTGGCTGGTGTTATGTGTGTAAAGCATTGCAGAAGCTAGGTCTCCCTGTTGTAAGCGATGCTCTTACGACGGGTTGGCTGACTCTCGCCATGTCTCGCTCTCCCTCTTTCTCTCTCTTGCCCGTTCTCAGGTGCACCCACTTATCAGCGGTTTAGTTTGTATTCTGTTGTGCCTGTTTTTGTACTTGGAGCTATATTGTTGTTGTTTTTGGGGAAAGTTTCTACCACAACAGTATATAGCAATACATTTACATAAATATATGTATGCTTGCATATGTATTGATGTGTGTACTGATCGTGAGCTGTTTGTGGGGTATCAGCACTCGTTTGACCAGCCAGCTGCCTGTTTGCTGCTCAGATTTAATACTTTCTAGACTCGCTTAGCGATTGCAACACGTCACGGCTCGGGTAAAGAAATAATAAGGCCTGCTATATTGCTTTTGTGTATAGTTTTCTTTATAAACGAAATTCAAGTGAAATATTCGCTGCAATAATGAGCGACGACGAGCGCCTTTCCAAAGAGGGTGAGGAGGAGGAAGAACAGGAAATCTTCGACGATGGCATGGTATTATATTATTGAAAATACGTAAATACTTACGTACATATTGTATGTGTACATTATAATTAAATCTACAGTGTGACGAAATACGAAATTGATGGCGTGGCCTAAATGGGTTTTTTGAAAGTGAAGTTTTACTAGTTATTTATTATATTCTATTTACAATATAGTTATGAAAACTACAATTAATATGTGAAACATAACTTCATTATTCAAAACAAAATTGTGCGAGGATTGTTAACAAGATAAAGGCATTTCAATTATTTAAAATGTTCATTCATTCTAGGAGTACACCGAACCGGGACAGCAGAAGATCGAGAAGCCCTCAAAAGATGAAAAGAATGTCGCCAAATGGTTGAAGAAGAATGTGAAGACAAAGAAAACCAAATTTCTGAGTCACATTGTCGAGTACTTTACCTCGAGCAAAGCTATCGATGCACTAATGAAGTCCAAATTCGCAGAGGGTGATAATCCACTGTTCAGTACACGCGAACAGGTCGTCGAATTTCTGGACGTTATGCTGGAGCACAAGTTTTTCCATCGTGCTAAGAAGGTGCCTGTCACGCTTGACGAGCTACGTGGCAAGTCTGATAAAAAGTCCGACTCGAGCAAAACACAGGACAAGGAAAAGGACAAAACAGAAACGACGAGTGGTAAGGCCAATGTAAAGTCGTCATCGTCATCGGATAAAAAGGAAACCGATCCGGAAGCGGATGGAGATGCGGCACAAGCCGCTGCCGCCGCCGATAAGAAAGAGAAAAAGAAACGCAAAATCCGCCTGGACATGCATCCGGAACAAATTTTCGTCGATGGCTCCGAGGCGTATGTGTGGATCTATGATCCAATTCCATTGCACTATTGGATCATTGGCTTCATATTGCTGCTGGGCGCCGTTGGCATTTGCCTGTTTCCATTGTGGCCGCCGCTGTTACGCAAGGGTGTTTACTATTTGTCCATAGCCGCTGCGGGTTTCCTGGTCTTCATACTGGCGCTAACTGTCGTGCGCCTGATTGTGTTTACCATTGTCTGGGCTCTGACCGGTGGCAAACTGCATTTCTGGATCTTTCCGAATTTGACCGAAGATGTTGGCTTCTTTGCCTCTTTTTGGCCACTGTATGAGGTATGTGTTTGCTTGAGTCCTGTACGAAAAAACCATTTATACCCTCTATTCATTTTTTCAGAGCAATTATATTGCCGATGCATCCGCATCCACATCTTCATCAAAATCCGATAAGAAATCCAAATCAAAATCGAAGAAAAAGGATAAAGACAGCGATGGGGAAGAAGATACGGCTGTTGATGCGGATGGCGATGGTGATGCTGACGCTGATGTAGACGCGGATGCGTTACCACTGGAACCCGAGAAAATTGAACAGATTAAAGAGCACGATGCCGACATGGAGGTGCGTAAACGTCGCAAAGTTGGTGCTGATGATTACGAGGAGGATGACGAAGATGTGGAAGGGTCAGAGACTTTACCGCCACTAAGGGATGCAGCGGCGCAAGCCAAGGATACCAAAGCTGGGTAAGCTGGCCGCTTGTTTTTACCGAACGAACCTCGTTTCTAAGGCATTTGCTCGAATTTTAACCTATGATCTATTGGCCTTGATTTTGTTTACTCGCAATTCAAGTCATAATAACGTTAGCTGTTAATTGTGTAAATTTCTGTTCCTTAATAAATTATAAACTACGATTTCAATATACATTAAGTTTTATTTCTCATAATTTTCTTTTGCGAATTTTGTTATTGTTGTTTTGCATTTCATTTAAATATATACATTTCTTTTTAAGCACGTCATTCATTCATAACTCATTAAACAGGTAGTTGGTCTTAAAGCTCGTAAACAATTATGGTTGTCCAACCTTAGCTTAAATATCTAAAACATAGTTAAGCAAAAGATTAAAATAAGTGGTAACAGGAAAATATTCTCAAAAAGTATGTTTTTAAAAAAATAGAATTGCTTAAGCTTAATTGCATTCAATAAACAACGATTGGACAAGGCCTTATTTACACACGTAGCCGTATTCACAGCGGAAAACTTAAATTGTTTAAACTGATTAATGATCAATTATTTCAATTTTTTAAAAGTCTAATTCATGTTCAGAACAACGAATGAAAACAAGTTATTGTAAATAGCTTTTATAATTTTCTTTAATAACAATGAAGACATTTTTTGTATTAAAACAAAAAAGCAGACAAATTATTTGGCTAAAGGTAAATAGATATAGAAATTGAATGTTTTGAAATGTTAAGTTGAATTTGGCCAATGTGTACATTTGTATATTGAACTCATATCCCATGTAGAGCATATTGGATTTGGCTGACACATTTTTTGGATATTAAATCCAACCAATTCCTTGTATCATATCATACCATTTGCCATTGAAACTCATTCAAGCAGCTCTATTACAGACTGTTCTGATTCCTTGAGTTTGAGCTCTACGTAAAGTGTGGATTTTAAATGTCATGATTAACCCATTAACTGAGTAAGTTTTATAAGTTTAATTTATCTCAAAAAAATAAACACACGTTCACGTACTCATACACTACGCCCCACCCCACCCCACAACACCCACACACACACACACACACACGCACACACATTTCGGCTTTGAGCTTTGTTTTAAATTTCCATTATTTATGTGGACATTATGTGATTTATTTGATTTGCTTCTGGTTACCAGCCGCCCAATATCTGTACTAACGATGCCTCCATCTCTTTCAGCACGCCGCGCCAATCGGAATCGGACTCGGAGAGCTCAAGCAAAGATTACGAAATAATTAGTTCAAGTGAAGTGCAAAACGTGGCGAGCAATTGAGTGAAAAAATGAAACGAAAAACGAATTCAGAGCAAATCGTTGCTTACTGTATTTAAATGAACCACATCCAATTGTAGCTTATTGATAAGGCAAAGTAACAGTAATAGAAATAACAACAATTGATATTGATTCCAAACAGATTGATATGTCGGATTTTTCCGCGCATTAAGCAAAAGTCCAAAAATAGAAAAACAAATTTATTTATGTGGTAAAAACGTTTGATTTGAATTTTCAAATTGTGCCTGAATTCACAACATTTCCTACCATATTGCATACTTAGACAGATATACATATGCCCCAAGCATTTCGGTTAATGCAGCTGCAGTTGACTTTTGTTCTGCTGTGTTTGTTTATTGCTAAAAAAAAAGTTATTGCAAATTGTTTTTAACAGCAATATTATTGATTTTATAGAAAAATTGCGAGCAACTCAAAGTTCTGTTTTGTTTTTATTTTAAACTGAGTGCAAGCAACAATTGCAATTGATAATAATGTTTAGGATGTGCATGATTATGAATATACATACATATATACAAATATACTTATACATTAATATATATACACTTAAAGTATATTAAGTGTTCGATCATTAACTTTAAATGTAATTAAAGCAACATAGCATTGAAATTAGTAGTGTAAACATCTAATTAATTATTAAAATAAAGCTAGGCAATTCCGATATGAGAAATCTTAAAAAAACTAATACTCGTTTTAATTAGAAAAGAATATTTTATTAATACACAATTTTTAAAATATATTTAACTCGCTCATAACTCGTCTTTAAATTGACGCTCTATATGGTATTGATCCAAGGAATGATTCAGCAAATACCAGGCATATCGGGGAAAAAGTAAACCAAATATGACAGCTACGCCGGCTAACTAAGAAAGCGAAACCATAGTTAAGCGACAAACAAGAAGTATTTTTAATAAGCTAATCATACTCACAAAAATAAGACAATATGCTAAGTAATATATAAACCAGAAAGTCACACTGGCACAGGCACTCAACAAGGCTGCTGCAGGATTGCGATAATGCACCCGGATGGGCCGTGCACCTGGTGGCAAGCACATGATCTGGAAAATGAAGCAAACAGGTTACGATATAATATTGTATACGGTATAAAGGTAGGACGCTCTCCAATTATCTTGCTCTTAACTATTTCGTTTCCCCAACTCGATTTCTTCCTACAGGAGTTTGTAGCATGTCTTTGGTTACTTCGGTTTTTGATCTTTTAGGTTTGAAGTGCTTTGGACTCATTCACACTTAGGAGCTTTATGGGCTTTGTCATCATTTCGTTTATTTTCTGGTGCACCATTTCATTAACTATCCACATTTCGTTATTCTTTCGTCTCTTACGATTCTTTAAGGTCTTATTTTCTTTGGACACGCTTTCTTTAAGTGGCTTATTCTTCATGCTCATATTTTCATCGCTGAGTGCATAACTCAGTTCCAGTTCCATGGCTTTGTATTTGATATGTCCCTTTCTGTGCCTGAAAGGATGAGCCGGCCATACTGGATGACTTTTCTTTTGTGGCACGCGACTTTTGTTTTCGTGGACATTGCTGTTCACCGAGGATTCATCAGTTTGCGGACACGTTTCTGAATGAGCGATAGGTGTGGGCTTTTCTTCCAAGTTTCCCTGCTTAGAATTTGCATTGCTTTTAGCCAGTTCGATGGCTTGTATGTCCGGAGTTCGAAACTCGTATATGCCCAAGGAAGATTCCGGAACAATAGCCGGGCTTACAATGTATTGTTGCATCTGTCCAGTGTTGGATGCGCAAGTCACGTCTCTAGCAACGGCCACCATTTTGGGATTGATAATCTCGCTGCTGGCATGTCGAACTGTTGCCAAGGTCCTTATAGCATGATATACGGTTGGCTGCTTTTGTCTTTTGCTGGCCTTCAACTTATCCAACAGTTCCTGGAGAAGATTATTTTTGAGTTCTGGGCCAGGCTTCAGATTTGCGCTCCGTGCTGCTGGTTTTACTGATGGACTCGCAATTCCGAAACACGATTCGAAATGTGTGGAACTATTGGTTACGGATTGAGCTGGCGTTGGACACTCTGCTGCTCCATTTGTGATACTCGCCCCAAGCTTTGAGCTATCCAACGATTTGGGAACCACACTCTTCTTAAGCTCTTCTCGATTGATTTTACATTTCTTATTTATTATAATGTTTGGCTTCCCTAATTTTGCTTTCAGCTCAATCCTTGTGGAGCTTGTTCCTGGAGTTGTCTGACAAGGACTGGTGGTGGTTATTTTGGAATCTGTAGATGAATGCGGCCTGCAGCAGGGCTTCTGTGCTCCACAGCAATTATTTAGTTTATTTTGTATATTTGCATTCGCCACGTTCTTTTTCTTACGATTCAGGCCACATCTCTGGCAGCTCCGCTTGCTTTCTTTGATTTCTTTAGATTGCACTGGATGTGATGGCTTTGTGGGCTTAGTGTTATGCGCATTTATGGTTCCATAGTGCAGGTTATGTGATCTTTTCAGTGGTTTCATTTCCTCGTCATGACTTGAGGAAAGAGTTGGTTTCGCGCTGGATTGCTTTGATGTGAACAGGCCACTAATTATGGACCACATCGAGGTGCTGCCGCTGGATCTGGACTGCGGGCTGGTAGGCTTTGACAAGAGACGCGCCCGTCGGTTTGGGGCAAAGCCCTTGTCTAGGTTGGGTCTGTTGCCGCCATTCGAGAAAATGTTGACATACTTTTCATCACCTGCTGATTTATTTGAAGAATTTAAAGGCAATTCGTTTGACATGTCATTTGGGTGGTGTGATTCTGGCACGGGAGTGTCTACAATCTTAAGCTCTGCATCGTTATTCAAGATCTCTGAACGATTATCGTCGCTCTCGCCGGCATCGGTGATGTGCAGGCTTTCCATAAACTGGAGGAGACCTTTTACCGACTCCGAGTGACTATTCTCAATGTGTTCGTCCTGCTTCTCAATTAGGGAAATTTGCTGCAAGGCGTCGTCTGTCAAGGGATTCGTGGGTCCGTTTTCAGTGGCTGGTTTCTGTTCCATTAGCCATAAGATCTTTTCTATGATTGAAATGGGCAGCAGTTCGGGCTCAGCTGGCTTCTCCTCAATATATGGCGGCTCCTCCCCGCCCCGACTGCGCACCGACTGCTGATGTACGGGCAGCGTGGAGCTGGCACTCTTATGGCTGCTGCTGCTCGAGCTGCTGCTGGATGCGCTGCTATCGGACAGACCCGAATGGGCCACCGCCTTCATCATTTCGTGCAGGCGCAGGGGAGCGCCCACACTATAGCTATGCCGCTGCCGCTCTGCGGGCGGCGCCGAGGGCACATCGAAGGGCGACGACGAGGAGCAGTCGCTGCTCGGCTCGGACTCGAAGCTGGAGAGTCTGGTGGGAGGCAAATCTGCACGTTGCTTGATATGTAAAGCTTTGGGCTGGCGCAGCACCAGACGAGCGCTATCCACAACGAGTGCATCCTCCGAGGGTCCTTCATAGATGTCGAACGGTGAGAATTGTGTGGCTTCATTGCTTCCGTTGGGCTCTTCTTCTTTGGGCGCCAAGCCGCCACCTTTAGCGCGCACCTTCTGCTTGGCCAGAATCTCGGATAGAACTTGCGATAGCGGCGGCAGCGGGCGGCTGCAATGCGAGCGCAGCGGACGCCCAAAAAGTCGGCGTCGCTTGGAGATGGCGCCGCCTGCCGAATCCGTAATGGGTTTGTCCAGCGGTATAAAGTCGCTCACAAAGAGATTGTCATAGAAGCTGGGCTGGCGCTTGCGCAGATGCAGCGGTCGATTGAATACTTCGTGCGCAAATGCCACCAGATTGGGCATATCCTCGCTGGGCTGCTCCCACAACGATTCGCTTGGCTTGGCGGCATAAGCCGGCGGCGATGGCGGTGGTGATGGTGGTGGCGGTGGTGCTGTTGCCACCGGCTCAATCTCAATCTGGTTCATTGGTCCGTTTGCGGCATCTTCGTCCTTGCGTTTGGCCTGCAAGCGCTGCGGCTTGCGATAGTGCCCGAAGCGGCCCGCGTATAGCTTGTGGTTGGTGCCCTTAGATTTCGACTGCTGTGGACCAGCCCCACACCCACCCAGCGGGGGCTTTGGCTCACCGCCGCACTTCATGCAGCTGGCCTTGCGCCTGGGCTTGGGTTTCTTAGCGGTCATGGCCACCTTGACGCGGACTGAGCCCTGGCGCCCCTCCTCGGAGCGTCGACGCTCCGCTAGCATTTGTTGTCGCACCGCTGCCTTTTCCTCCTCATCGCTCGACGAGCTTATGCAGGCGCGCGGCCGCCGGCGTCGTCCGCACACCTCGCACCAAAGCTCCGGAGTTGGAGCAATGTGTAGAATAGAGCGCGGCAGTTTCTCGCAGAGACACCAAGTCGGCGATGTTCCGTAGCTGGCCATCTTTTTTAAATACAGCGAGTAGAGCTCGTACAAACGAAACATTAACAAGAATTCAGCTTCGAATCTAATGCGACTGTTTTTTTTTTTTGTGCGTTGGGGAAACTCCAGAGCTCAACTGACTATTTGCTTAATCTCAAAACACCCAACGGCCTGCTTTAAGCAGGGATCTTTCAAGAGTTGCTGTGATTTGTTTTGGTAAAAAAATCAAAACTTTCGGCTAGTATGAACAAAATAATACGAATTGGGTTTAGTGTTGTAAACTGCCACAAACAGTGATGCCCATTAAGATACAGAACTAAGGGAACTAACGGCACCGTGCACAACTGTACTTGAGCTAATTCGAGATATAAATTTTCAAAAATGAATCTGAAGAAAAGAAAAGTAAATGAAATTTACTTTCATTAATAATAAATGATAAATCTTGGAATTAGTTTTCACACTCAATAAACCACAATAGGCATATAAAATTGAGTTCAATAAATATACAAATATTTTCGAATTCTAATTATTTGAATTTAAATAATTATTTAATTAGCAATTCATTATGCGAAAATTTTGAATGCTTTCATGCTTACAGAACTTAATCTGATATAGATATAAATTCAATTTTGTCTAGAAATAATTACTTTGAGTCAACCAGTTGTTTTTTTGCGGTTTGAATTGAATATCCTCAATATATAAACTCGTTTATTGTTAAATGAATTATCAATTCGATTTGACTTTACACAAACAGAGCGAAGAAAATTGATTAATAAATTTATAGTATTTATTTTAAAATATTTTATGGAGACACTAACCGTTATTTAAAGGACATTTTCAGCTACACTGACGTCCATTCATCGACGGCCTGTTCTTGGCACACACACAAAGTATATAAATAAATTGCATGTCTCGCTAAGTGTTTTTTCATGTAAAAAAACAGAAAATATTTGACTAATTAAAAGCCCACACTAAAAGTTTTTTCTAATTTAAATAGTGCCTCAGTGTGAGTTCATACATATTGCTTGCACAAGTTTCAATATTTGAGAGATTTCGATTTGAGCAGAAATTGTTTCTACAGTTCTGTCTACTTCAGATTCAGAAGACTTCTCCTCCCAGAGCCCCTAAATGTTTTTCACTGAACTTCTCTCGGTGTTTTTTAATTAAAATAATTGTTTAGTTTTATTGATATATAATCAGGTAACAATTATGAATGATTACATAGAGATATATGGTTGTTACATTTGGCATTGTAGCTAATTTAAACAATTAGTGCTAATCTTTTCTGCATCTTATTTATATAAATAACTTTTAATGGGTGTGCATGAATTGGGGATATTATTCAGATTAAATTGTACCCAACTATTGATGTATTTAAAAAATTTAATAATTATATATACATATATTTCGATTTCTGTTAGGCAATGGCAATCTGTGATTGCTATCGGCATTTCAAAGTTCAGATTTGCCTTGGGAAATTTTCTCGCGTCTAGAGTCAAAGAACGCATTAGGAGCACATTGGCCGCAGACATTGTGCGGAATGTTGTTGTGCATTTCCGGCTCATTGAATGGCAAAAGGCGTTGCATAGTTTAGGGCGCAGTGCGAGTTACAGGATGTACCGAAATCGAGCATAACTATAAATTATAAAGCTGCTGTGCACGTTCGTGCGTACTTTTTGAATTACAGGCCAGCTGTTCGGGATTTATGCGAGCTATTGCCCATAAAAATACTTGTCTATAGTATGCTCATATATATGGCTCGTATTAGTTGCACATAATCTCATCACATTGGCGCCTAATTGTGCACTGCATACGATTGTTGTGCCACATATAGTACATAAAGATTCGGAGCTACAACTACAATTGCTGCTGGTGGTTCGCCTGATAGCTACAAAAATTATTTGGTTGGCATTTTAATGTATTTTTATTGCAATACTTTTGGCGTTTCCTTATTTTCGGCATTTTTACTTTGTCCTGGAATTTCTGTGTGTTTCTTTTGCAGTTCTACCCATTAAAAAAAGGCATAAAAAGGGTTAAATGCTTTTGTGCTAATGTCGGCGTCTTCGACAATATAACGCCTATATTTTCTTGATCAGTATTAAAAACCTTGTCAGTCTAGCTATCCTTGTCAATCCCTATCCTGTCTGTGACTTCTTGGTTGGGCGCACAGGTTAAATTTGTAGCACAAAAGAAGTCCATATTCAGATTATGTTTTTTGACCTTTCAGAGCTTATCAAAGTTAGCGAAAACTTTATGTATAGGCATTCTTTTTTTTTGAGCCTGAAAAGGAAACACTTATTCTCCGAGGTGTAGTCGTAGGCTTTGTTATGTACACACCTTTGGATGCCATTCTTAAGCCGTGCAAATTGAAATAAGGATAAAATGCATCAAGTGCGTCCTTTCGTGTGTTTTGTTTGTTTTTATGCTTGTGACGGCAGCTTGGCGCTGGGTACCCTCTAGTCGAGCACTGCCAAGCACTACTTTTTATTTATTTATTTTTTTATTTTCGCTTGAATTTGGCTTTACTTGTTGGCGTGGCTTTTAGTTGGCGTTTATTGCATTTGGCCGGCATTTAAAACGCGAATGGGTTTCCGTAATTCAATGTGTGCCAACTATTTGAAGGGGCGTGCCACATACAAAAGAGGCGTGGTCATGGTCTGGTAATGAATTTTCCAGTAAATTCAAACAAAACAAAAAGAAGCCTTAAAGCGAAAAGTTTCCACTACGTATTGTTATTTGTGTGATTATTTAAGATTAAGCAGGCATTGAATGCTTGTATAGAATTTATTTTAATTGTGTCCTGAAATTATTTTATAATAATACACGTCAACTTCGACAGCTCTAGAAGCTCGCCTCAGGGCTTAGACAGAATTTTAATTGGAGTTTTGCGCTTTCGCCTTTCAAAAACAATTTCCGCCGTGGTTAAACTATAATGTATATATATCGTGCAGGTATACCATATATATTTATATGTATATACATTTATTTAAGCGAGTCCGAGGTCCGGGGCCTGCACCTTTTTCTGGTCGGCTAGTTAGCCAAAGCGCCACGAAATTTAAAAGTCAGCTCCAACTCGCGGCTGATACGTGACTTCTGCGTGGCTGGGTGTCTGTTGTGTCTGTGTCTGTGTCTGAGCATGTGGCACATGCATCAAAAAGTATGTGTGCAACATGTGCAACGCACCAGCTGTTTACTTATTCAACACAATTCGTACATTTCATAATTCAAGACGGTACCTGAAACCTGTACGGGGCATATGGATGTGCTGCCACGCATGCGTAGCCGCCCCGCCCGAGGGTTACATGTGTGCTAGGGGGCGTTTCTTATTTAATGGAATTTTATATGCAGCTCTGCCGTTTCGGGCGCTGCACTGTGCTGGCTTCCGCTCCTGCTGTCATTTGAAGTTTGTTGCGGTAAGTGGAAAGTGTTGTCAGGCATCTTGAAAAGGTGCAGCAGCCAAATGGCAGCACTGACCCAAGTCTCTAAGCGATGTGACAACCTTGAAAAGCACTCAACAAATAATGCCACCGAATTTCCCAAACAAGTGCGCTTGCACACACACACACACACACACACACACATACTAAGCAAACAAAAAATATTAACATGAGTCTCGTCCATAATTATGGAGCTGAACAATTTTGTGTAAAAAGCTCACGTATTCGTCGCTCTGACAATTCGCAGTTCAAAATACTTTGTTCTATTTGGTAATTTTAGGCAAATCCTCATTAAGTGATGAGATCTTTAAGGGATCTTAATATATAAGATTTATGTTGTTATATTATTATTGATATGAACAGTATAAAATACTGTTCCTTTTAATTTTACTATTGCTATTAATATTCTTTTTACTTGTTATTATTATTATTATTATTATTATTATTATTATTATTATTATTATTATTATTATTATTATTATTATTATTATTATTATTATTATTATTATTATTATTATTATTATTATTATTATTATTATTATTATTATTATTATTATTATTATTATTATTATTATTATTATTATTATTATTATTATTATTATTATTATTATTATTATTATTATTATTATTATTATTATTATTATTATTATCATCATTAGTTTTACTTTTGTTACTATTTTATTTTATTATTATTTTATTTTATTATTATTATATTTATTACTTCAATGTCCTGCGTCGTAGATAATACTGCAGCTTTATTTTATCCTCTAATTCATTTTTGGATCCATATTTTTCTCCATTTCCTTATTGTTGTATTAATTATGTTTGGTGAAAAACAAAGCACAGCTCGTTTTAATTTGAAAGTGATTTAAATAAGTCAAGAAATGCTGCATAGCATAGTTTAAACGGATTACAAATGAAAATTAAATACAAGAAAGGTGCTGCCGTGGGAAAGCGCTAATAAACTGACAAAAAAAAACCAACAGACTAGAAGAAATGCTGGACTGAAAATGAAGGAATAGCCTTTCAGTTCTAATTGTTATTCATAATTTATTTTTGCGTTAAGCGAATGTTATAAAAATGGCGTTATGATTGCATACAATGTGCTTATTGGGTACTCTTAATGCCGTTTTTATGGAGCGCTGGTTTTCCGGCTTTTGCTTGTGTTCAACTGCTGAGGCTTTGCTGGTTAGCCAGAAGCTTCCGCTTTCATAAAAGCACTTCTAAAGGTAATTGTTTAAAAATATATTTCATTTTATTATGGCGCACTGCTGCAGAGTTGCCTGCACCCACCCCATGCTCAGACTTATAGATCGCCTGTCTAGTCATGTGTGTGTGTGCGTGTGTGTGTGTGCAATGTCCATGTAAATTTCAGCAACTCTCCCAAACTAACCAACAAAATTTGCTGCTGTTGCGGTTTATTTTGTGTTGCAAAAATATGTACGGTCCCCTTAACCCTGCACCCCGTACACACTCCACCCACAGGGTCTCCCCACCCCTCTCCCCTCACCACACACTCACCGATTTGAATGTTCACTGGCGCATTGTTGAGCTTGACTTTTTGTTGGTCGCGTTTGGAATGCAGAGTTTGTTGTGTTATGTTGTGCTGTGTGTTGGCCTGGCTTGTTATTTTAGCCAAAAGCTGTTAAATTGCACAAAACAAAACAGAACAACAGCGAAAAGTATGTGTATGTGTGTGTAGGTAGATGTGTGCGTGTGTGTGTGGGAGGGGCGGCCATGAAA